GGATATTTTATTATAAGAGGTAGATGAACAAACAAAATGCGCCACGTTAAGGCGACCAGAAATTCTCTAATCAGTTTCCGTTATCAGATTTCATGAGATAAGTCAGGTATTATATTCGAGTACGCTCGCAGGGGTGCAACTGATCACGGAAGTTCGAAAATGATTACTTGAGGATAAAAACCAGGGCAGCGAATGCGGCACAACTTACATGCAAATTAGTACTTGAACGACATGCGAAGCGTAAATGATAAAATGGAAAATAAAAATTAGTACTTGAACGACATGCTAACCGTAAATGATAAAAAGACAAATTTACCTAAGAGGACTGTGAACGACACCAAGCCAGCATGGCCAGTAAGCAGGTGCCATCCGCTACGATAATCTCATGGTTGACGCTGGAGGATATTAGCCCATTAAACGTGAACGTCTAAACTGCTTGGATCCATTGCATCAAGAAGAGATGGTGTGGCGAGAGCGAAGATAATAAGCATGCCCGATTCAACTAAGGTGACGTTTACTTCCAAATGCACTGACAAGTGGCCTTAAAAGTACGGCTACCTACTACGACGCAAATGCTGTACAAAACGTGTGAAATATAACATGATATTTTATAGACGCGCGCAATTCAATATGCTGTCACAAGCAATGTGAAATGCCATCAGTATTCAGAAATAAACGCACGACTGCAAACATCATATTTCACCGTATTAACTGGTCGTCTAACAGGAAGGTCACGGAACAGAAGCTACAAAACAACTCTACTAACGTCTTCCAAATAAAGACTATCTGCAATACTTTCAATTCCTGAGGTGCATTAGTTACGCTAACTTACGAAATTTTAAACGAAATTCCGAAATGCGTTTTCCTTTCGAAGGGAGTAATTAAGTTGCGTTGTAAAAGTTGTCACCGTACAACCTCATTCTATAATAATCGAGTTAATTCGGGATGCCAGCTTTCGAGCAAACTTCTTTTTGGTTGCAGGCAAAAGTCACACTCTGTAAAAAAGTGAGTACTTACGTTGCATGAATGTCTCTCATTTGTTTTCGAGGACCCTAAAAATTTAATTATATTTCATAGAAAATATGTAAAGCAATATTCCCTCTTCCACTCATTTGGTAAAAATGATTTTGTCTTCGAAGTTTATACTCGAAAAAAAATATTACAATTTGGTTTTAAAAAACCTTTCCAAATTCCGAATAATTTTGAACCGTATCTGCCGTTGCAGGGTGTCCAAACTAAAAACCACATATCTTCTGCGTACAGAAAACTCTATATTTCTACAAGGTATTATGAGGATACCATACAGGGTTCATAGAGCTTAGTAGTGGATCAGAGCCATATTGTTGACTTTATAAGCCACATTAGTAAATGTAGAGCAATGAAGTTTTTTTGAACGGCAAATTCATAGTAGTAAAAAATCTTACAATTAGAAACGTCTTTACAACCGAATAACGCTATTTTTGTCGAGTATACATTTAAAAGACTACCTGCTCTTCTACTGAATGAGTACAATACTAAATATTTTTATGAATAACATCTATGAAACATGATTAACTTTTTATGGACATCGTCAATAATTGAGAAAATTGCACAGCGAAAAAGCAGTCCCTTTGGCAGAGTACAGTTTCTGCATGTAGATGATAAGATGCTCGTTCCGAAGGCGTCATCCAAAGATAACAAAATTATTATTGACGTACGCTGCACGAGGATTAGTTTTACGAGCCATTTAAATAATCTTTTCTAAACGGAAACGCATTTCTGAATTTCGTTTGGCATTTGACGAGTTAGCTCACCTACTGTATCACTACTTGGCAGCGCCAGTAGGAAGTCCTGTAACCGTGTTTCGGGATGCGAGAGGGATGGACGCAGTGGACTAAAAAAGAGCAAAATACAACTGTCAAAATATCAAGTGACGCATTGCGTGAATTCAACCTTGGCTACGATGATGAGACACTGTTAGATATCACGGTCGACACCTAGCAGCATCGGCAAGCCGGAAGAGCAGGAAAGCCTACGTCGTCGTTAATTGTATCTTTACGCGTAGGATGTTCTAACGGCCTTAGCAGTTTTTGTTATTGTCAGCGCATTTTGAACCACTATTAAGGTTTGTTTTTACAGATTTTATTAGCCGATTCTCTAGCAGAATAATACAGAAACCATGCACACGGCCTCGGACCAGAGGATAAAAAACTCCTTTTTGACGTCTTTTAATAAAGACACTGTGAGTCCTATCAAGGCTTGAGGTAAGATTTCTCGGCAGCGAAAATACGGAGTCTCGTAACTGTGCTGCGGGATGCGAAACCTACGCACGGAGGGGACTATAAAGGAGAAAAAATTAACTCTCAAAAGAAAACGTAAGATATACCATTAGCTAAAATGAAGATGCCTTGTTCAAGACCATAGTTAACGCCTAAGATCAGTGGCAGGCCGGAGGAGCATTTGTTAATTCCAATTAGGAATATCTACGTCGTCGTTAATTTTATTTTTAGACGTAGAATGTTATAACGATCTTAACAGTTTTGTTAATGCCAGTATATTTAGAAGTAATATTTAGATTTGTTTCAACAGATTTCAGCGTATTGCAAGGTAGGGAAACTCTTGTGGTAACACATTGACATGCGGGTGAGGGTAGAGGAACCTCCTACTATGTGAATGCAATTTGGTAGCTTTCGATACGTTAGCACCCATATTGGGCAAAATTAATAACCTCAAGAACGTGTCTTGTGGTGGTACGCAATCTGAACGTCACTGTATCAGAAGAAAACGCCCTACCATTCGCCTGTAAACAAGTAGGTGACGCAGCATTCTGTACATTTGCACAATATGCCTCATATCGCTCGACTGCATATTTCCAAAAATTCGACTGTGTTTTGCAAGCTACTAAGTAAGTTAAGTTTAATGTATGAGTCAAAAAGGCTACTAGATTGAGGGCACTAGAAATGCAGACATAATCGTGAATGTGAGAAGTAAGAAATGACTCGCCAATTAATATTCCACTTGCCACTGCACAGTAGCCTTCCTAATCTGGATAGCAAGTCAAGTACAGTAATCGTTCGCTAGCTCCATCTCTGACTTTCACGGCTTCACTCTATCGCGGATCGTCAATCCACGCATGCCTAGATACAGATCATGACCGCTCTCATGAAATGTTGGCCAAAATTCTGCAATACCTGCACGATTTAATATTCTTACAACGGTGAAACTGCAATATTTATTAGCATGCAGCATAGTGCTGTAGTATTTCGTGCTTGTCAGGGTGTCGGCTTTTAAATGCTCTTCTTTTCGGCTTCCTGCAGCAAATACAGACGGTAACAATGACTACTGAATTAGCACTCACCTTTCACATTATTTTTCGATGGTTATATAAATTCACATATACGTTTTGTAGAATCTGCACCAAACTATGCCTTCTTCTAGGTGTTTAATGAAAAATCACATTGCCGTAACATTCTATACCCGAGAAAAATATTTCAAAGTTCCTGAATAATTTCGAGCCTGATCAGCGTTGGCATTTAGTGAATTCACTCTACAAGGTTTATGCTTCCGAGTAAAGAAAATCACATATTCCTCTATGCCTCTAAGAAGATATTATATGGAGTTCTAAAATGTTGTAATGGATGCGGACTATGTTGGACATTTCATGAGGAGCATTGATAAACTGACATGTGCGATGTTGTGTGTATTGGCATCGCAGATCTAAAAAATCCCATACTAAGTAACATTTCCAAAACGTTAATATACACTATCCTCGGGTATGATATTTTGGGACAATGCGATTTTCTACAAAACGGGTAAAAGAAACCGTATTCTTATGCATATTTTCTATAAAACATGTTTGACTTTTTAAGACCGTAGAAAATCAATGTAAAAAGGGCATGCCAATTCAGTAGTCATTTTTCATGAATGTGGTTTCTGAAGTAGGACGAAAAGAAATGAATCAAAAGCCGACATCCTGGCGAGCACGGAATGCTACCGGATTATGCTGCATGCTAATCAGTGTTACAGCTCCACCTTAGTACTCCCTCCAAATCCAAAGGGCATTTCTAAATTTCGGCCAACATTTGTGACATCGCTCACACACATTGTATATAGCGCGGAATGTAAGTTGGTTCGCGTTTCTGTTATGTGTTTCCTCGGGTGGTTTGGCAAGTTATTTCTCTAAACATTAAGTCGACGATTGTAGTTTTTCAAGAATTTATTATTGCATTGCATTTATAACTGTACTGTGTAATAAATAAAACTACTTTAACATATACACACATATAGCTGTGAGTAGTAGATACAAGGTATGAACAACTACATAATTTCAATGAATGTTATCTAGTATCTACGCGACTGTAAGGGGTTTATGCTGTATAACCGTGTAAAAAGTGTTTGAAGGGTGCACGATGGTGTATAAGGGTGTAAAGTATGTAAAAATAGTCACAAAACGCACGATATTTAATTGGCAGACTTTCGCTTTTCGCAGGAGTCTTGGAAAGCAATCGCCGCGATCCAACAAGGGTCATTAAATTAATTTAGCGCTCCCGGTGAATTGGGGAACATGCACAGAATTTATAAATCAGCTTTAAAATGGCATGTACACAAAACGTTTAAATTTGCGCTAATTCCGCTCCAGACCTACGATCAATAATCATGCTTGATGCAGCCCCTTTCTCGTTGCTCGTACTGTGGCCTCTACGAGGGCATTAGCATGATGCCAGCTCAATTTCCCACCATCACACGCACGCTATCACGACCACCGCCGGTGGGGTGTTCATGGTCAAGGAATTTTACGTTGTCCTATTATTGGTGTGCATGAGGCGATGCAAAACAACCGTAAAAACAATGCGCTCAGCATATGGTAGAAGACGGCCTTGCCTACGCCAGGTACACTTTCCGCTAGTGCTCCTCTCACGGCAGTATAAATAGATCTGCTAAAAGCAGAAGGACCATATATTTCCGTCTACGCAACGGTTTCAATTTCGTGCCGACTGACATTTTAGTTTGAGCAACATCCAATGTTTCTTCTGCCATCATTGATTGCTCTGGTCTTTTTAAATTTCCGACCCTGCAACTGCCGTAAGTTAAGAAATTAAAACATTACCTTCGCACGCTTTAAGAGGGACGTCTTCTAGCTGTTCAGCAAGACACCAACATCGACTATCTTTTCGCGATTGATTCTTCCTATGTGGTGCGTGAATTAATAACTGCTAACTAATTTGAAACCTCTAAAATAAAACATGTTTACACAATTTCTTTCTCGTAGTTTCATTCGTCGACTTCCGGATTTGTGCAGGGAACGGCACAACGTCCATGTCAACCTCCGGCAAATTGTGTAGAATTTTACCCAGGTGTGTTGCTGAACCTCTTTTATTGTTCTTCTTCATTTCAACGTTCTTGAACGTCGACATCATAACCCCATCCAAGACGGGTACTATATAATTCAAAGTTAACAAGATATATCTTTGAATGTAGACTAGGAGTGGAATGTAAAGTAGATCCCAATAAGTCCACTTACATCTATAGTAGATGCACATAGTAATAATTTGCAATAGTTTTCTCAAGCCACAAGCCTATAACATAGTCAGCCCAACTAAACTTTCTTTTTCGACCTTTTATTGACTTCTCTATTAAAGAAAAGAGGAGTTTTATGATCAAGGCCGAGAGTCACGCAAACTACTCTGCGGTAATTCTCACGCCCGAAGCATCTGACCGAGCTCAAATCGCAATCGTCATAGTGAATGAGGGTGAATTTTTTCCAGGTATGTTTTAAATGATGCTCCATTTGCCAAAACCTTGAAAGTTAGAACTTGTCTCTAAAAACAAGCTGCATAAAACTGTACGTTAATCAAGGAAATGATAACCTATTAACTTATCTCCCTGTTAAATTCGTAGACCTTCGTGGCGTCCAGTTCATAAAACCTGTTATCTTCAAATCATTCAATGAGAATTCATTTGGCGTGATCTTGGATGAAAATGTAAAGGTAATAGAAGAACAAATAAATTTTGTATTTGTCTAACTGATTTGAAACAATGCGTTTTAACTTAGTCAGTCTGAAATTCGAAAATTCACTGCCCGGGAAGATTTTAACTTAAGCAGTTTTGATTGTTTTCAGGAATTTAAACTCATGGGAAACATCAGCAAATATGGCTCGCCTTCAACCGGTACAGGCCTGGAAATAGTTATTCCCAATGGTAAATTACTTTCCACTTAAATTGGCCAAAGAAGCGCCAAAAATATTTACCTCCAATTTACATTTTTAGAACGAGTTAACGGTGGGCAGTACAAAATCATGAGAGTTACAGGACGTGTGGCGACGCAACGTCTATCATTCTCCTTGACAGACAATGCTGGAAACTCACCTACTTACGATTTCACACCTAGCAGCAATGCACCCATTTTGATGATGCAAACACGTTTACTTCAGTGGCCGAAGACATCCAAAACATCAGGAGCATTGGAACATGCAAAATGGAGCGCCTTGCTCATAAGCGTGACTGCTTTGTATACACTTTAAAAGGCAAGCAAAACATAGGCCCGACGAGAACATTGTTAAGCAGTCCTTATCTTTGTGTCATAAAAATCCGTATTTGAATAGTGTTCGTTCTTTCAGTCTTCAAAGGGTTTGTTGCATAGTTTTTAAGGTTATCGTATGTCAGTTTGATAGGGGAAAATTGACAGAACGCCAAAATGAGGAAAGGATATGAAGCGAAAAGTGTTGAGTCTAAAGAAGTGATAGAACTCATAGCGCCAAATTAATCACGGTGCAGTTACGCCTTCGAGGGAAAAGAAGAAGAGGCCATCATAAGGTGTGTATTCTACACAAAACCCCAGCCTGTTCGTGAGTGAAAAAGCGTCACATGAAAAGCAGTCAGTGTGCGCTTGGTCGGTTGATAGTGGAGTTTGTGGGCGCTTGCGATTAACCATCAGCGGGACTGAACTTGTTCTTGTGTTGCGGCAAGGGGCAGCGATCATGTAATTCCTGTGGTGTGCGCCAGAGATGAAAGGTTTATTGCCGAGAGAGGTGATGCAGAATAACCTTCGACAATGACCTATTGCGAAAGAAGTAGTTTCCCTAGACTAATAAACAATAAATGCGACCATGCACACAGAATACGTCCAGACTTGACTGGGTAGATTAGGTGCTGGACTTATGGATGACGCCTCCAGAACGGAGCTTCAACTCCGACAGCAGATTCCTGCTGGCAATACATTTAAATGCCTTTCCGCCAGATGATTCAGCGTCGAATTACAGCAATTCAGAGGACAGGTCAGCAGATATATACTCTCACTTCGAGTTGGAATAGTCAACCTGGAGCTGAACTAAAAGTAGATGCTTGGTCTAACTGACGAAATTGTGGAAAAGTCAGCAACCTCGATGTTATATGGATCCACTTTAAGAGGGTCGACGCTGTGTTCTGATATACGCTTTTACAACCTCAGCAATGATGCCTCCAATGGAATGGAAGGAATTCCGCACACGATGGGAAGGGGACGCTTACTGAACACAAATTTACAATGGTTTAGTTAATGATTAAAAAGAATAGGGAGAATTGACTCGGAATATAGTGGGACCTGGAGGTTATTCTAGGTTTATGAGATAGTACTGTAACTGCACCTTGTTTGGATTCCGACTACAGAGGCGCTAAACACGGGTTGGATTCCAAGGCATGACAGATTAGTCAGTCAGCTGCATAACGGTGTGCAGATTAACAATCTTTCCAACAACTTTAGTTAATTATTCAATGGACAATTTGAAGTAATGCTTGCTGGTCAAAAGCAAACATTTTATTCCGGTTAAACTTCTTAGAGTTTATGCCAGCAAATCTGAAATTTTGATGGTTTTGCCAATACAAGGACCGAAACGCAGACAACTCGTCCGGTTTGAGGGAAATATAGATTGGCAGTTTTCAAGTTGTGTGACCAAGAGTATGAAATGGCCGTTTAAAATATGCAGGTTTATTATGGCCTTGGTGTGCGAGGAGACGGTGAAGAACTACTGGGGATATATATAGCTTTCGGACGCAAGTTATGTACACAATCGCATTGCTATACCCGCATGTTAGCACGCGTAATGCTAGCATGTCCTAATTCCCACAGTGGACGCGACCGGTCCACTGCACCGTTAGACGACGTGAAACCACCAACGCCATGACCAGTCTCCGTGATTTCGTTCCTCCTTCAAAATGTGTTCAAAGCCTCAGCGTAATACCACGGCAGTTCGAGGGATCACAAGTCCTTATGCCTTGAATACGGAACCCAAGGTTCGCAAACTTATCTCCGTTTATGTCGGATGCTTGTTTGTGTGTGCGCAGGTACTTATTGGCATTTCCAGATTCCGGTGGTTGGACCGGCTTGTCCTACTACGAATGAACAAAATCTTGGCTGCAGCAGTGAGAGGTTAGTCATTCTTTTCATTCGTCAGTACAACCTTCGCATTCTCAGATGTTATTACTAAATAAACTAATTCCCTCCTCCTCGTAATGCATCAAAGGAGAAACGTCTTTTATAGCTATTGGGTAGATATATGAATAACGCCTGCGACCTAGTTTATTTGTGCATATGATTTAGTGAAAGTGTTCAGCTACATGAATAACTTTGGATAAGGCCAGATATAGTAGAATTACAGAGAAACTTTTTCTATAGCAAAATAAACGCAAAATTCGGCGTTCGATGTGTTTCAATATTAACCACGTCCATGCAATGGAAAGGCATTGTGGCATTGTCGTTTATATTTTCAACAGTTGTAAATATAAAACATCAGGTTATGTCCGCCAGCCAAAGAAGAAAACACATTAATCACAAGGACGTGGTTTGTGTTTGAACTATTGGTGAACGTTGTGTCTTTGTTCACAAGCGTGCGGTGAGTGTTTTCTTTACTCCTTCGTAGAAGATAACATTTTATACTTAAGGAAAGTGTTGACTTGGGTTTTTTAAATGTTTTCTATTGTGGGATTATTTAAATCCGTTCGACGTCCATTCATACAGCATCGTATATGTCCATTTTTGAATGCTTATCATGAAAAGCGCAGCACTGTTCTCATCCATTATGAATTTTATGAACGCTCTGTGGCATAATCTTAAAGGCATAGGGGAATATAGGCCTCCCTTTATGCGAAAAACATGTACCTTGTCGACTGAATTCGGTAAATGCCAATGCAATGGCTCATCGTGCTCAAAATTATCCGGTAATAAGGAAACTTGCTCAAAATCTAAATATACCCTTTCTCCGGCTACACACTGAGAGAACAACATCATTCTCTCACAAATGAGTAAAGGAAAGCATGTTGATTAGCGTTCTTCTTATAAAACATTTAAATTTATAAGACCACCAAAAATCAATGCAAACCTGCAGGCTAATTAAGTAGTCATATTTTAACGCGTGCTGTTTCCACAGGAGTTTGAAAAAAGCGCATTCAAAAGCGGACATTCTGGCAAGTCTGAAACACTGTAGGATTATGCTGCATGGTTATTTATTTTACAACTCTACCCAAGTGAGCCTTTTTACCGTACTCTAAAACAAAAGAGCACTTTTGTCCCTGTATGGAATTACGGCTAGCAACTTTCTTCCGTCACTGAAACCGACGCATGCACAGTTTTCTTCGATGATTTTTAAATTGGACCCACTACATCCATCACATCTGTGCGCCAATTATTCTGCAGGAGTACTGCTAATAGTCCTGCGTCAGACATCTATCTTCATTTATTGACCTGTTGCGTCGGTGAGCTAACAGGTCGTTGTCTTATATGCTAGTTTCGACCTGTACTTATGTCCTGCGATGCACAAATCTTCTGTCCTACGATGACAAATCGTCTTAGAATTCAATATACGTCAGCTCGTGGGGCATGTGGTGAAAGTGATTACATTATGCCGGATGAATTATTTATTCGTTAGTAATCAAAACAGCTATATACTAATACACCTCTTGGAAACCTTCGCAAACGTAAGGATCCATTGATCGTTCCACAGAAATTTTTATTTGCACGGACATGACAAATTTTCGAAATAATATTCCTAGGCCATTAAGCATGATTGACTAGACTATGTGGTCAGAATCCATTCATCCCAACAGCACATGGAATCTTAGGAATAATCTACTTTGGCGCCGAAAACGGGAAGATTACCGGTAGAAACCTCACAAATATTGGTCCCATTCCGTGCTGAATGTTGCTTTGCGCGGGCCGTTGCTACACGTCAGCTCACTTAGAAGGCTGTCGCAATCTCATGAAAATATCGACCGGTGCCATTCATCTAAGGCAATAACAAAAATCCCGCTCGGCACGAGGAGGACAATTAAAAACCACCCGCACCCCAGAGACGTAGAGAAAAACTCTTTGAATCACCAAACAAAGTCATGCTATGCCAAGACACCCACTGATGCCTTATCGTACACACGCCAGGCTAAAGAGTTATGATTTACGGCTTTTACGCATTCTTGAAAATGAATCACTAGCCTGAAGCAACGCAGTCTAAATTAAGCTTCCTTAGCTTGGGCAGAGTGCTTGTGAAGTTTTTAAAGACAGTCAAATGATCATGCCTACGTCATTGCCTACGTTATTTTATCAGTGGCGCTTATGAATTTCACAACACTGTCCGTCTTCGTTACAAAAATATATAAACTATGTATGACTTCTTCTTAAAAGTACAAAGAAAACTACGTTGGTTTCATATTCGACAAATATAGAATATGCAGTTAAGTAGTCCTTAACACAAGTCGAGTTTAAAGTTTTGGAAAGTCGGAAATATCATGAGTTCTGCAGGTACCCGTTGCAGATATTATCGTTTGGCTAAAAAAGTCAAAAAAGTCTTGTTTTATGCATATTTTATAAATTTCACAATAACCTAAAACGGCACCATAAATCAATACGAAGAAGTCATATTACAAGGGCGATTTCAGCAGTCGGTTAGGATAAAGCTCATACGGAATCCGGTACTTTGAACTGATTAACATACCATTGGTTTATGCTGTACGATAATTAATACTGCAATACCGCTTTAAAAAACATGTACATTCGGAAACGCGTTGCAGAATCTTTATTAGTATTTTATGAGATAGCCCGCATATTGTATGCTAAGATTAAAAATTGAAGGTTCGCCAGGTCTGCCTTATTACATTCAGCGTCCAGATTCTGATTCGAAAGCCGTCACTGGTTGTATTTGCAGCTAAATCAGCAATGGGCCTATGAAGCCTGTTCGTATTGAGCGAGTGCTGATTACATTATCTTTTCTTACACGCAGAGAAACACTTTCCCAGTTTATATGTGATGCATTAATAAACGGACAGAATGTTTACTTTGCACTCATTTTAGTTCTCTACTTCTGGACACTGAATGAGAAATCCGTGAATATTTTAGATGTGTCCAAGTATTTCAAGGGATAATAGAGTAATGGAAGCAATCTTATTAAACATATTGACGTCTTCCATACCATCTGGTGGGTCACGGGTTGTCAAACTCCAGCATTTATTCATTTTGCAGTATGGCCGACAAAACATAACGTTAAGGTCTGGCCTTACGTTAATAACAGAATGGGTTATGACCTTCGTTTAATGAAGAATACATGCAGCCTTCAAATTGGAAATGGAAAGGCGAAAAATGTGCGGCTGGTCAATGCATCGCCTGCCACATCTAGAAGCCGCGTGTCTTGGTAAACCCGACAACTGCGACTCGCATGCTGAGCGTTTGAACAGTTACTATGAAAGAGAGAACGAAAGTGCAATTAGCGCTTTGGTAACGCTTTTTGGAATTTCGCGAAACGATACTACCAATCATCGGAAGCAAAAATACAAATAAATCGCAAAGCATGCAAATTAATTCATTACGAATAGAAGCCAGGATATGACAATTAGAATTTTAGTAAACTGTGCATTGATGAGCGGTATTTATAGGAAAGCTGTCAATGACGCCTCACTTTTATATTTCCTGTCAGACTGGTATTTACGACCCAACGGGAACGCACGGAGGTTTTTGAAACAAGATCAACAACCAGAAAGGCTGCATCTTGTCAAACATCAGAGATATTTCTGAGGAATTTGAAGACGTCACGCGCAAACGGGACCCCACACTTATCCCATCTGTCTGATCTCGCAAGTGGCCAGTCAGGTGCAGTTCGTCTCCTGAAAACTCGCATCATAATAAGATTAACTCACGAAAGTACGCTTGTCAACTTAATGGACAGAGTTGGCACTCGAAGCTCCTATTCCTATATTTTTCAGCGGGACCTTCGGCATTGGTTATATCTTGAATCAATTAAAACAGTTCCAAAGATTAACTGAGCTGTAAAACTGAAAATATGTCCCAAAAACTCCGTGCAATATCCGTTAAAACCTGAATCCTGAAAAAATGTAAGTTATGCAAGAGGCTGGATGTGCGCATGACGCTTCCTGCATAATGTGTCCCGGCAACTAAGTGCAATGTAGGTGGATACAGTAGGTGGGCTAACTCATGAAATGTCAACCGAAATTTAGAAATGTGTTCTCGGTTCGAAAAGATTAATTAAGTAGAGTTGTGAAACTTGTCATCATACAGCATAATTGTACAATAAGCCAGTTACCTCAGGGTGCCGGCTTTTGAATGAAATTATTTTCGACTGCGTGCAAGAACTACACTCTGCAGCATGCAATTTTCTTATAGATTTTCGACACTCGTAAAAATTCAATGATATTTCATGAAAAACATGCATGAAAATAACCATTCGTCTACGTATTTGATAGAAAACCACGTCTTCTTCAAAATTTATACCCAAAGGATGGGTATACTTTGGTTTTCAGAAAGAATTTCTCATTCCGGAATAATCCTGTATCCGCATTGCTCTTATACTTGTATACAGGGTTTCCAAACTACAAGCCATATATTTTCCGTGTATAGGAAAATATACATTTCTTTACGATATTAAGATGAGACCATATGAGGTTAATTAAAATTAAGTTGTGGATTTGAGCAATATTGTGACCTTTACAAGTCACATAGGTAAATGGAGATACATGGAGTTTTATGAACGGCCCTTCCACGGTATTAAAAAATTTCATAATTAGAACCTGTTTTGAGACCGAATTATACTACCCCTTCGAGTATCAAATTGAAAGAAGTCGTGGTTTTCTTCCGAATAAGTGGACGAATGAGTATTTTCTTGCATGTTTTTCATGAAATATCATTGAATTTTTGCGGGTGTCGAAAATCAATGAAAAAATTGCAGGCAGCATAAGCAGTCATTTTTTGCAGAGTGTAGTTCTTGCACGCAGTCGAAAATAAGTTCGTTTGAACGCCGGCAGCCTGAGGTAACTGGTTCATCATACAATTATGCCGTAGGATGATTACTTTCACAACTCTTCTTAATTTATCTTTTCGAAACGAGAACACATTTCGAAATTTCGATTGACATTTCATGAGTTAGCCCACCTACTGTATGTCTAAGACCAATATAATCGGTGGTGTTTTTCCCGAGAAATATTTGCGATGACAGACAAATGTATGTTAAAGTGGTATGCCTTCGGGACTCGCGCTTATTATCCGCCGACCAATTTGGAATTTTTTTTATTGAAAATATGTAGTGATTTCTTGCACCAAATATAGGTAAATCTGCATTTTAAATTAATTTAATGTACCGATGTATAATAATTCTGCGGGAAATGTCATATTGGAGAAGGACACTCATTCTGGGATTATGTCTGTGTCTCAATGCGAGTGTGAACTAATACGTGCTGGGCCGGGGATACTTTTCGTTGGACAGCTAGTCTAAACTACCCTCCCAATGCGTGTTCTGTAATGAAACCAACTAATGGGCGTAGGCATATGTTCTTCCTCACCACTAAACTTAACTTATAGGCAACAGTCCACAGTCAGTTTGCACTCCATCTATTTCCGATGAGTAAAATCCTGGGGCAACAGTTAACTGTCCACCAGTTCACACTACTCCCTGCACCGATAGAAAAGTTGGTTATGTCAAATAAGTCAACAGTTTTTTCCTACTCTCTGCCTATTGGCGGCTTGGTAATAATACGTGGTCATTTTGGTGAAAATATTACCACTGCCTTCCCGAACGACCTTGATGGTGTCTGGCAGTAAAGAATTTCTGTGGCAGTTTGCGTCTCCTTGCCCTCCGCTGCTTGTCACGCTGCCCACCTGTCCACCTCATACTCCCTGTCGATCGACGCCAATCAGCACTGTCTCTCCTTTGATTGGCTGGCGGAGGGCAAGGAGACGTGAACTGCCACAAGTCAAACATATCGATTTCTGAGCAAAATACGGAGCATGACGATCCATTGCCGTTTGACATATTCAAGTACGCACGCAAGGGTGTGACTGCCTATGCATGTCCAGTCCAATTCAGCTCGGGTCATTTGTGGGTAGTGTAGGTCTGCACCTTTGAATTTGTAGCATGTCAAAAATTGGAAAAGTTGTCAAAAAAGGTAACAAATAATCGGATAAGCGCCAGTTCTGTATAGATAGACGGACTGTTTCAATTGTTAGTTGTTTGGAGTGCAGTGGAAGAAAGGTATCCAAAGTGACAATGAATGCATGGGTACATGTCAGTAAGCGCAGGCGCTGGATTGTAGACAATAATAAATTTTACTAAATATGTTACCGAAATATAGGAAGTAGTATCGAGATGATTGGGTTTGCGCTTTTGCCAAAGTTACAGAGGTTGGATGGTATTATAGTGGACACCGCTGTACAAATCCAGCTTCATCTTAAAGACCTCGAGAAAAGCTGACATAACGACATCCAGAATCAGAGTATTCTAAGCTTCGAGCACTCCGGTGGAGAAGATGAACTTTCATGTGCCCAGCCCGACCCCGATCACATGTAGTTTGGATGGATGACCTATTAGGTTGGTGGTTGTTGCTAACTCGAGGAAGTCCCCCAGTACTGTTCGCGTATGATAGGAATTGATTGTATCAGGTCACCCCGTAACTGCCTGTAACACGAAGGACAGAGATCAAGATTACGTAACTGTGTTTCATAGGGTAGCGAACCCTGTTCAGCCACAAGATTTGTGCCACGCCTTTGAGCCCGTCCAAGGACGCTAAGGACTCTAAGCTTGGATAGGAAACACGGATTGCGGCAGAACAAACGTTCGAAAGACTTTAGCTAACCAGTCTTCGCCAAGGGCAGGGAAAGCCGGCTTGACAAGACAGACAACTGACATTGCAGACTTGGCTGCCTTCGTGCACTGCAGCGAGGGTTTGAGCGAGATCGTAATCCATATTCCCAGGTCCTGCGAGTCCACTTCTTGCAGTGACATATCATTTAGACAGAAAGCCATTGGACTCAGAGAGCTGCTTCTGCCGACTTGAAAAATATTGCAGCTGTTCTCACTGGACGGTACTATTGGAGTCGGTTAGGTTTGTCTGTAAATGCTCTTCCTCGAATGACGCTACAAAGCTTAATATCATCCGCCAAACATGGCGAAACCACCATCCAGTTCACAAACGCGTCCATTTACATAAAACATGAACAGAGTCGGATAAAAAACTGAGTTTTGGGGAACGCCGCTTTCAACGGCAACCTCAGCCGACTGCTGGTCACCAACATCAACAAATTGAGAACGGTCAAATTGGAAGCTTTGAAATCATTTTAAGAAATTACCCTTAACGTCTGTTCAGTTTAGTTTGTGCAGGAGTCACTGATGTGAGACACTATCAAATGCCTTTTTAAAGTCAATATAGATTGCATAAATCTTATTGTCTTCATCAACTGACCGAGTTCAGCGTCCCAAACAGTTGAGCAAGTTAGTCACTTAAGAGCGGCCACTACGGAACCCATGCTGCGCATCAGATAATAGATTATGCTGCTCTAAGAAGCGCATTAGATCTCGCTTTATTATGTTTTCCATAATTTTGCAGCAGTTGGAATTGGAGCTAATTGGTCTGCAATCTTCTTCAGAGGCCGTGCTTCCACCGTAGTATATCAGGCTGATCCGCTAAGATAACCAGACGGCCTCCAACGAATCCAGGAAAAGCATGGCCAGTGGTTTGGCTATTTCAGTAAGGAGCTCTTTCAGTAACCTAGACGGTACGTAATCTGGGACCGGTGATTTCCACTTATTTAGCGTCATCAGCTCTTTACGAAAAGTCGCCTCATCAAAAGATACAGCCTCAATTTTGGACCCTCATCAAAGTCGTAGTCGAGAGTTGTAAATGCGCTTTCGCGTGTAAAGATAGATTTAACAAATTGTGAAAGGTGTCCAGTTTTTGCTCCATCCTCACTAATATCTAGGTCCCCGCTTGTCATTCAGGAGGTGGAAAGGATCTCTGTTTCGCGTGCTGCTTCCTATGTAATTGCAGAATAATTTCCGATTTTCCACAACAGGATTCCGTAGGTTCCTCTGTGCTTTGTGTGCCTTTACGAACGCAGGTTTTCTCTCAGTGACAGATTTCTGCCGCAATCGCCGCCTTTTATTTACTTCCTATTTTGACGCCTGAGTCATCCACCGGGGTCGCTTATTTAGCCCCGTCCGTGAACCTTTTCCAATCCTCCGCTATATTTCCGCAAATGACTTATTCCCAATCTGTATTGTTGACTTCGACCTTCATTTGGTTAAACTCCCCACGCAAAATATTTCTAATAATTTTGGTGGGCTGTTAAGGTAGGGAAAAGATTGAATAGTCCCATTGAAGTACGACGTGATCGCTTCGACCTAGGGGAGGCAGACATTGCATCCCATTTATGCTGTCAGCCACTGGAGCCGTTTCCAGTGCCTTGCACGCGGTTCTTGCAACCTTATACTTTAAAAGACGTTTGAGGTCTTCTTTAATTTCCGTGGAATCTAATGCGCAAACTTAGAGTTAATCTTTCGAAACATAACTTTTCAAGCACGGCCAGAATTTCGCTATGAGCATTTGAGCTGAAATCCATCAAAGAGAAGGTGTGGCGAGTGCGAAGATACTAAGCATGCCCGATTCAACTATGGTGACGTTTACTTCCAAATGCACTGACCAATGGCCTAATAAACTACGGCTACCTACTACGACGCAAATGCTGTACAAAACGTGTGAAATATAACATGATATTTTAAGGACGCGCACAGTTCAATATGCAGTCTCAAGCAATGTGAAATGTCATCAGTATTCAGAAATAAACGCACGAATGCAAACATCATAATTCAACGTATTAACTGGTCCTCTAACAGGAAGGTCACGGAACAGAAGATACAAAACACCTCTACTAACGTCTCCCAAATAAAGACTATCTGCAATCCTTTCAATTCCCAAGGTGCATTAGTTACGTTCACTCGCGAAATATTAAACTAAATTCCGAAATGCGTTTTCCTTTCGAAAGGACTAATCAAGTTGCGTTGTACAAGTTGTGACCGTATAACGCTATTCTATAATAATCTAGTTACTTCGGGATGCCAGCTTTCGAGCAAACGTCTTTTTGTTTGCAGGCAAAAGTCATACTCTGCAAAAAATGAGTACTTACGTAGCATGAATGTTTCTCATTTATTTTCGAGGCCCCTAAAAATTTAATTATATTTCATAGAAAATATGTAAAGCAATATTCCCTCTTCTATTCATTCGGTAAAAATGATGTTCTCCCGACGTTTACACTCGAAAAATATTACAATTTGGTTTTGAAAATTCTTTCCAAATCCCGAATAATTTTGAACCCTATCTGCCGTTGCAGGGTTTCCAAACTACAAACCGCATATCTTCTGGGTACAGAAAACTCTATATTTCTTTAAGGTATTATGAGGAGACCATATAAGGTTCATAGAGCTTAGTAGTGGATCAGAGCCATATTGTTCACTTCATAAGCCACATTAGTAAATGTAGAGCAATGAAGTTTTATGAATGGCCATTTCAAAGTAGTAAAAAACCTCACAATTAGAAACGTCTTTAAAACCGATTAACAACATTTTTGTCGAGTATACATTTGAAAGATTACATGCTTTTCTACTGAATGAGCCCCAAAATGAATATTTTTATAAATATCTTCTATGAAACATGATTAAATTTTTATGAACATCGACACTAAATGAGAAAATTGCACAGCGAACAAGCAGTCCTTTTGGCAGAGTATAGTTTCTGCATGCAGATGATAAGACGTTCGTTCCGAAACCGTCATCCTGAGATAACTAAATTATTATAGACTTACGCTGCACGATGATTAGTTCTACATCCCCACTTAGATAATCTTTTCCAAACGAAAACGCATTTCTGAATTTCGTTTGACATTTCAGGAGTTAGCCCACCTAGTGTATCACTTCTTGGCAACGCCAGTAGGTAGTGCTGTAACCGTGTTTTGGGACGCGAGATGGATGAACGCAGTAGACTAAAAACGAGCAAAAACCAACTGTCAAAATAACAGTTGACGCATTGCGCGAATACAGCCTTGGCTACGATGATGAGACACTGTTAGATATCATAGTCGACACCTAGCAGCATCGGCAAGCCGGAAGAGCAGGAAAACCTACGTCGTCGTTAATTGTATCTTTACGCGTAGGATGTTATAACGGCCTTAGCAGTTTTTGTTATTGTCAGCGCATTTTGAACCACAATTTAGGTTTGTTTTTACAGATTTCATTAACCGATTCTCTAGCAGAATAATGCAGAAGCCATGCTCACCGCCATGGATCAGAGGATAAAAAACTCCTTTTTTTGACGTCTTTTAATAAAGACACTCTGGAGTCCTTTCAAGGCTTGAGGTAAGATTTCTTGGCAGCGAAATTACGGAGTCTCGTAACTGTGCTGCGAGATGCGAGACCTACGCCCGTAGGGGACTAAAAAGGAAATAAAAAATAACTCTCAAATTAAAACGTGACGCATTTCATGAATATACCATTTGCTACGATGAAGAGGCCTCGTTGAATAGCAGGGTTAACGCTTAGATCATCGGCAGGCCGAAGGAGCATTTGTTAACTCCAATTAGGAAAATCTACGTCGTCGTTAATTTTATTTTTAGACGTAGAATATTAAAACGGTCTTAACAGTTTTGTTAATGCCAGCATCTTTAGAAATACTATTTGGATTTGTTTTAACAGATTTCAGCGTACTGCAAGGTATGGTAATTCATGCGGTAACACGTTGACATGCGGTTGAGGGTAAAGATACCTCCTACTTTGTGAATGCAATTTAATAGCTTTCGATAGATTATCACACTTATTGGGCAAAATCAATAACCTCAAGCAAGTGTCTTGTGGTAATACGCAATCTGAACGTCACTGTGTCCGAAGAAATCGCCCTACCATTCCCCTGTAAACAAGTAGGTGACGCAGCATTCTGTAGATTTGCACAATATGCCTCATATCGCCCGATTGCATATTTCCGAAAATTCGACTGTATTTTGCAAGCTACTAAGAAAGTTGAGTTTAATGTATCAATCAAAAAGGCTACTAGATTGAGGGCATTAGAGATGCAGACATAATCGTGGATGTGAGAAGTAAGAAATGACTAGTCAATTAAAACTCAACTTGCCAGTGCACAGTAGCCTTCCTAATCTTGATGGCAAGTCAAGTACAGTAATCGTTCGCTAGCTCCTTCTCTGACTTTCCCGGCATCACTCTATTGCGGATCGTCAAGCCACGCATGCCTAGATACAGATCGTGACCGCCCTCATGAAATGTTGGCCACAATTATGCAATGCCTGCTCGATTTAAAAGGCTTACTAAGGTGAACCTGCATTATTTATTAGCATGCAGCATAGTCCTGTAGTTTTTCGTGCTTGTCATGGTGTCGGCTTTTAAATACACTTTTTTCGGCTTCCTGCAGCAAATACACACGGTAACAATGACTACTGAATTAGCACTCACCTTTCACATTAGTTTTCGATGGTCATATAAATTCACATATACGTTTTGTATAACTTGCACCAAAATATGCCTTCTTCTACGTGTTTAATGAAAAATCACATTGCCGTAACATTCTATGACCGAGAAAAATGTTTCAAAGTTCCTGAATAATTTCGAGCCTGATCAGCGTTGGCATTTTGTAAGTTCACACTACAATGTTTATCCTTTCGAGTAAAGAACATCACATATTCCTCTATGCCGATTAGAAGATATTATATGAAGTTCTAAAATGTTGTAATGGATGCAGACTATGTTGGACATTTCATGAGGAACATTGATAAACGGACATGTGCGATGTTGTGTGTATTGGCATCGCAGATCTAAAAAATCCCATACTAAGAAACTGTTACAAAACCTAAATATACACTATCCTCGGGTATGATATTTTGCGACAATGGGATTTTCTGCAAAACGGGTAAAAGAAACCGTATTCTTATGCACATTTTCTATAAAACATGTTTGGCTTTCTAAGACCATCGAAAATCGATGTAAAAAGGGCATGCCAATTCAGTAGTCATTTTTTATGAATGTGGTTTCTTTAGTAGGACGAAAAGGAATGCATTTAAAAGCCAACATCCTGGCGAGCACGAAATACTACAGGATTATGCTGCGTGCTAAACAGTGCTACAGCTCCACATTAGTACTCCCTCCAAATCGAAAGGGCATTTCAACATTTCGGCCAACATTTCATGACATCGGTCACACACTGTACATAGTGTGGAATGTAAGTTCGTTCGCGTCTCTCTTATGTGTTTCCTCGGGTGGTTTGGCAAGTTATTTTTCTAAACATTAAGTCGACGATTGTAGTTTTTCAAATATGTATTATTGCATTGCATTTATAACTGTACTGTGTAATAAATAAAACTACTTAACGATATACACACATATAGCTGTGAGTAGTATATACAAGATGTGAACAACTACATAATTTCAATGAATGTTATCTAGTATCTACGCGACTGTAAGGGGTTTATGCTGTATAACTGTGTAAAAAGTGTTTGAAGTGAGCACGATGGTGTATAAGGGAGTAAGGTATGTAAAAATAGACACAAAACGAACGATATTTAATTGGCGGACTTTAGCTTTTCGCAGGGGTCTTGGAAAGGAATCGCCGCGATCCAACAAAGGTCATTAAATTAATTTACCGCTGCCAGTGAAAAGGGAACATGCACAGAATTTATAAGTCACCTTAAAATTGGTATGTACACAAAACGTTTAAATTTGCGCTTATTCCGTTTCAGGCCCACGATCAATAATCATGCTTGGTGCAGCCCCTTTCTCGCTGCGCGTACTGTGGCCTCCACGAGAGGATAGTCAATTAGCATGATGTCAGCGCAATTTCACACCATCACATGCACGCTATCACGACCACCGCCGGTGGGGTGTTCATGGTCAAGGAATTTCCGTTGTCCTATTATTGGTGTGCATGAGGCGATGCAAAACAACCGTAAAAACAATGCGCGACTCGTATGGTAGAAGACGGCCTTGCCTACACCAGGTACACTTTCCGCTAGTGCTCCTCTCACGGCAGTATAAATATATCTGCTAAAAGCAGAAGGACCATATATTTCCGTCTACCCAACGGTTTCAATTTCGTGCCGACTGACATTTTAGTTTGAGCGACATCCAATGTTTCTTCTGCCATTATTGACTGCTCTGGTCTTTTTAAATTTCCGACCCTGCAACTGCCGTAAGTTAAGAAAGTAAAACATTACCTTCACACGCTTTAAGAGGGACGTCTTCTAGCTGTTCAGCAAGACACCAACATCGACTATCTTTTCGCGATTGATTCAAGCTATGTGGTATGTGAATTAATGACTGCTAACTAATTTGAAACCTCTAAAATAAAACATGTTTACACAATTTCTTTCTCGTAGTTTCATTCGTCGACTTCCGGATTTGTGCAGGGAACGGCACAACGTCCATGTCAACCTCCGGCAAATTGTGTAGAATTTTACCCAGGTGTGTTGCTGAACCTCTTTTATTGTTCTTCTTCATTCCAACGTTCTTGAACGTCGACATCATAACCCCATCCAAGACGGGTACTATATAATTCAAAGTTAACAAGATATATCTTTGAATTTAGACTAGGAGTGGAATGTAAAGTAGATCGCAATAAGACCACTTACAGCTATAGTAGATGCACATAGTTATAATTTGCAATAGTTTTCTCAAGCCACAAGCCTATGACATAGTCAGCCAAAAAAACTTTCTTTTGTGAACTTTTATTGACTTCTCTATTAAAGAAAAGAGGAGTTTTATGATCAAGGCCGACAGTCACGCAAACTACTCTGCGGTAATTCTCACGCCCGAAGCATCTGACCGAGCTCCAATCGCAATCGTCATAGTGAATGAGGGTGAATTTTTTCCAGGTATGTTTTAAATGATGCTCCATTTGCCAAAACTTTGAAACGCAGAACTTGTCTCTAAAAATAAGCTGCATAAAACTGTACGTTAATCAAGGAAATGATAACCTATTAACTTATCTCCCTGTTAAATCCATAGAACTTCGTGGCGTCCAGTTCATAAAACCTGTTATCTTCAAATCATTCAATGAGAATTCATTTGGCGTGATCTTGGATGAAAATGTAAAGGTAATAGAAGAACAAATAAATTTTGTATTTGTCTAACTGATTTGAAACAATGCGTTTTAACTTAGTCAGTCTGAAATTCGAAAATTCACTGCCCCGGAAGATTTTAACTTAATCAGGTTTGATTTTTTTCAGGAATTTAAACTCATGGGAAACATCAGCAAATATGGCTCGCCTTCAACCGGTACAGGCCTGGAAATAGTTATTCCCAATGGTAAATTACTTTCCACTTAATTGGACAAAGAAGCGCCAAAAATATTTACCTCCAGTTTACATTTTTAGAACGAGTTAACGGTGGGCAGTACAAAATCATGAGAGTTACAGGACGTGTGGCGACGCAACGTCTATCATTCTCCTTGACAGACAATGCTGGAAACTCACCTACTTACGATTTCACACCTAGCAGCAATGCACCCATTTTGATGATGCAAACACGTTTACTTCAGTGGCCGAAGACATCCAAAACATCAGGAGCATTGGAACATGCAAAATGGAGCGCCTTGCTTATAAGCGTGACTGCCTTGTATACATTTTAAGAAGCAAGCAAAACATAGGCCCGTCGAGAACATTGTTAAGCAGTCCTTGTCTTTTTGTCATTAAAATCCGTATTTGAATAGTGTTCGTTCTTTCAGTCTTCAAAGGGTTTGTTGAATAGTTTTTTAGGCTATCGTATGTCAGTTTGATAGTGGAAAATTGACAAAACGCTAAAATGTGGAAAGGATATTAAGCGAAAATTGTTGACTCTAAAGAAGTGAGAAAACTCACAGCACCAAAATAATCACGGTGCAGTTACGCCTTCGTGGGAAAAGAAGAAGAGGCCATCATAAGGTGTGTATTCTACACAAAACCCCAGCCTGTTCGTGAGTGAAAAAGCGTCACATGAAAAGCAGTCAGTGTGAGCTTGGTCGGCTGATAGTGGAGTTTGTGGGCGCCTGCGATTAATCATCAGCGGGACTGAACTTTTTCTTGTGTTGTTGCCGGGCGCCGTGATCATGTAATTCCTGTGTTGGGCACCAGAGATGAAAGGCTGATTGCCGAGAGAGGTGATGCAGAATGACCTTCTACAATGACCTATTGCGAAAGAAGTAGTTGCCCTAGACTAATAAACAATAAATGCGATTATGCACACAGAATACGTCCAGACTTGACTGGGTATAATGGGCGCTGGACTTATGGATGACGCCTCCAGAACGGAGCTTCAACTCCGACAGCAGATTCCCGCTGGCAATACATTTAAATGCCTTTCCGCCAGATGATTCAGCGTCGAATTACAGCAATTCAGAGGACAGGTCAGCAGATATATACTCTCACTTCGAGTTGGAATAGTCAACCTGGAGCTGAACTAAAAGTAGATGCTTGGTCTAACTGACGAAATTGTGGAAAAGTCAGCAACCTTGATGTTATATTGATCCACTTTAAGAGGGTCGACGCTGTGTTCTGAAAAACGCTTTTACAACCTCAGCAATGATGCCTCCAATGGAATGGAAGGAATTCCGCACACGATGGGAAGGGGACGCTCACTGAACAAAAATTGACAAGGGTTTAGTCAAGGATTGAAAAGATTAGGGCGAATTGACTCGGGATGTGCTGGGTCCTGGAGATTTTTCTAGGTTTATGAGATGGTAATGTAAATGCACCTTGTTTAGATTCCGACTACTGAGGCGCTAAACACGGGCTGGATTGCAAGGCATGACAGATAAATCAGTCAGCTGCATAACGGTGTGCAGATTAACAATCTTACTAACAACTTTATTTAATTATTCAATGGACAATTTGAAGTAATGCTTGTTGGTCAAATGCAAACTATTTATTCAGGTTAAACTTCTTAGAGTTTATGCCAGCAAATCTGAAATTTTGATGGTTTTGCGAATACAAGGACCGAAACGCAGACAACTCGTCCGGTTTGAGGGAAATATAGATTGGTAGTTTTCAAGTTGTGTGACCAAGAGTATGAAATGGCCGTTTAAAAGATGCAGGTTTATTATGGACTTGGTGTGCGAGGAGACGGTGAAGAACTACTGGGGATACATATAGCTTTCGGACGCAAGTTATGTAAACAATCGCACCTCTATAACCGCATGTTAGCACGCGTAATGCTAGCATGTCCTAATTCCCACAGTGGACGCGACCGGTCCACTGCACCGTTAGACGGCGTGAAACCACCAACGCCATGACCAGTCTCCGTGATATCGTTCCTCCTTCAAAATGTGTTCAAAGCCTCAGCGTCATACCACGGCAGTTCGAGGGATCACAAGTCCTTATGCCTTGAATACGGAACCCACGGTTCGCAAACTTGTCTCCGTTTGTATTTAATGCTTGTCTGTGTGTTCGCAGGAACTTGTTGACATTTTCAGATTCCAGTGGTTGGACCGGCTTGTCCTAGTCCGAATGAACTAAATGTAGTCTGAAACAGTTAGACCTCAGTCATTCTGTTCATTCGTCAGTACAACCTTCGCATTCTCAGATGTTATTACTAAATAAACTAAGCCCCGCCGCCTCGCAATGCATCAATGGAGAATGGAATGGAAGGAATTCCGCACACGATAGTAAGGGGACGCTTACTGAACACAAATTGACAAGGGTTTAGTCAAGGATTGGAAATAATAGGGCGAATTGACTCGGAATGTAGTGGGACCTGGAGGTTATTCTAGGTTTATGAGATAGTACTGTAACTGCACCTTGTTTGGATTCCGACTACTGAGGCGCTGGTCAAATGCAAACATTTTCTTCAGTTTAAACTTCTAAGAGTTTATGACAGCAAATCTGAAATTTTGATGGTTTTGCGAATACAAGGACCGAAACGGAGACAACTCGTCCGGTTTGAGGGAAATGTAGATTGGCAGTTTTCAAGTTGTGTGACCAAGAGTATGAAATGGCCGTTTAAAATATGCAGGTTTATTATGGCCTTCGTGTGCGAGGAGACGGTGAAGAACTACTGGGGATACATATAGCTTTCGGACGCAAGTTATGTAAACAATCGCATTGCTATACCCGCATGTTAGCACGCGTAATGCTAGCATGTCCTGATTCTCACAATGGACGCGACCGGTCCACTGCACCGTTGGACGGCGTGAATTCACCAACGCCATGACCAGTCTCCGTGGTTTTATTCCTCCTTTAAACTGTGTTCAAAGCCTCAGCGTGATTCCACCGCAGTTCGAGGGATCACAAGTCCTTATGCCTTGAATACGGAACCCAAGATTCGCAAACTTATATCCGTTTGTGTCTGATGCTTGTTCGTGTGTGCGCAGGTACTTATTGGCATTTGCAGATTCCGGTGGTTGGAACGGCTTGTCCTAGTCCGAATGAACAAAATGTTGGCTGAAACAGTGAGAGGTTAGTCATTCCGCCCTTTTACAAGTAAAATCCTTGCATCCTCTGATGTTATTACTAAATAAACTACGTCTCAACTCCTCGTAATGCATCAATGGAGAAACGTCTTTTATAGCTCTTAGGTAGATATATGAATAACGCCTGCGACCTAGTTTATTTGTGCATATGATTTAGTGAATGTGTTCAACTCCATGATCCACTTTGGATAAGGCCAGATATAGTAGAATTACAGAGAAACATTTTCTAAGGCACAATAAATGCGAAAGTCGGCATTCGATGTGTTTCAATAGAAACCACGGCCATGCAATGGAAAGGCATTATGACATTGTCGTTTATATTTTCAGCAGTTATAAATATAAAACATCAGGTTATGTCCGCCAGCCAAATAAGAAAACACATTAATCACAAGGACGTGGTTTGGGTTTGAACTATTGGTGAACGTTGTGTCTTTGTTCACAAGCGTGCGGTGAGTGTTTTCTTTACTTCTTCATAGAGGATTACATTTTATACTTAAGGAAAGAGTTGATTTAGGTTTATTAAAAGTTGTCTATTATGGGATTATTTAAATCCGTTCGACATCAATTCAAACAGCATCGTATATGTCCATTTTTGAATGCTTATCATGAAAAACACAGCACTGTTCTCATCCAGTATGTATTTTATGAACGCCTTGTGGCATAATCTTAAAGGCATAGGGAAATATAGGCATCCCTTTATGCAAAAAGCGTGTACCTTGTCGAGGGAAGTCGCTAAATGCCAATGCAACGGCTCATCGTGCTCAAACTTATCCGGTTATAAGTAAACTTGCTCAAAACCTAAATATACCCTTTCTTCGGCTACACGCTGTGAGAACAACATAATTCTCTCTCAAATGAGTGAAAGAAAGCCTGTTAAATTGCGTTCTTCTTATAAAACATTTAAATTTATATGACTTCCTAAAATCAATGTAAACCTGCATGCTAATTAAGTAATCATATTTTAACGCGTGCTGTTTCCACAGCAGGTTGAAAAAAGCGCATTCAAAAGCGGACATTCTGGCAAGTCAGAAACACTGTAGGATTATGCTGCATGGTTATTTATATTACAACTCCACCAAAGTGAGCCCTTTTACCGTACTCTAAAACGAAAAAGCACTTTGTCACTGTATGGGATTACGGCTAATAAGTTTCTGCCGTTACTAAAACCGAAGCATGCACAGTTTTCTTCTATGATTTTTAAATTGGACCCACTACATTCATCACATCCTGCTTTGCACAGTGTTCATGACAAATCGCCTTAGAATCCAATATACGTCAGCTCGTGGTGCATGTGGTGAAAGTGAGTACATTATGTCGGATGAATTATTTAGTCGTTAGTGATCAAAACATCTTTATACTAATACACACTTTGGAAACCTTTGCAAACGTAAGGATCCATTGATCGTTCCACAGAAATTTTTATTTGCACGTACTTGACATATTGGAAAGGTAATACCGACAAAGACAAGGGAGACCGGAATGGCCATTTCTGGCTTATTAGCCGTCATCAGCCGTCATCATCAGACTTGACATATTTTCGAAATAATATTCCTAGACCATCAAGCATGACTCCTTCGACTATGGGGTCGGAATCCATTCATCCCAACAGCACAGGCAATCTTAGAAAAAATCTACTTTGGCGCCGATAACGGGAAGATTAGCAGTAGCAAACCCACAAAACTTCGCCCCACTCCGTGCTGAATGTTGCTTTGCGCGGGCCGTTGCGACACGTCAGCTCACTTAGAAGGCTGTCGCAATCTCATGAAAATATCGACCGGTGCCATTCATCTAAGGCAACAACAAAAATCCGTTAGGCACGAGGAGGACAATTAAAAACCACCCGCACCCCAGAGACGTAGAGAAAAACACTTTGTAGCATCAAACAAAGTCCTGCTATGCCAAGACACCCACTGATGTCTCATCGTACACACGTCAGGCTAAGGAGTTATGATTTACGGCTTTTATGCTTTCTTGAAAATGAATCGCTAGCCTGAAGCAACGCAGTCTAAATTAAGCTTCCTTAGCTTGGGCGGAGTGCTTGGGAAGTTTATAAAGACAGTCAAATGATCAAGCCTACGTCATTGCCTACATTCTTATTCACAGTGGCGCTTATCAATTACACAACATTGTCGGTTTTGATTACAAATATTTCTGAGCTATGTATGACTTCTTCTTAAAAGGACTAAGAGAACACGTTGGTTTATTACTCGGAAAATATAGAACATGTAGTTGAGTAGCCCTAAACAAAAGTCAAGTCTTTAGTTTTGGAAAATCGAAAATATTATGAGTTTTGCAGGTACCCGTTGAAGATATAATCGTTTGGCAAAAAAGTCAAAAAAGACCTTTTTTATGCATATTTTTATAAAATTCACCATAACCTAAAATGGCACCATAAATCAATACGGAGAATTCATATACCGAGCGCAATTTTAGGCAGTGGGATAAGATAAAGCGCATACGGAATCCGGTAGTTTGAACTGAATAACATATCTTTGGTTTATGCTGTACGATAATTAATACTGCAATACCGCTTCAAAAAACATGTACATTCGGAAACGCGTTGCAGAATCTTAATTAGTATTTTTGAGATAGCCCGCATATTGTATGCTAAGATTGAAAATCGAAGGTTCGCCAGGTCTACCTTATTGGATTCAGCGTCAAAATCCAGATTCAAAAGAGATCGCTAGTCAAATTGACAGTTAAATCAGCAGTCGGCCTATGAAGCCTGTTCGTATTGAGCGAGTGCGGATTACATTATGTTTTCTTAAACGCAGGGAACCACTTTCCCAATTTATATGTGATGCATTGATAAACGGACAGAATGTTTACTTTGCACTCCTTATAGTTCTCTACTTCTGGACAATGAAGGAGAAATCCGTGAATATTTTATGTGTGCCCAATTATTTCAAGGCATAAAAGAGTAATGGAAGTAATCTTATTAAACATATTGACGTCTTCTATACCATCTGATGGGTCACGTGTTGACAAACTCCAGCATTAAATTTTTTGTAGCATAGCCGACAAAACTTAACGTTAAGGTCTGGCCTTACCTTAATGACAGAATGTGTAATGCCTTTCTTTAATGTAGAATACATTGCTGCGCTTCCAAACAGCGTTCAAATTGGAAACGGGAAAGCGAAAAAAGTACGCCTGGTCAATGCATCGCCTGCCCCATCTAGAAGCCGCGTGTCTTGGTAAACCCGGGAAAACCGTGATTCCAAGTGTACCTTCTGTGTAAATACATCTGGCGACAACTGCGACTCGCATGCTCAGCGTTTGACCAGTTACTATGAAAGGGAGAACGAAAGTGCAATTAGCGCTTTGGTAACGCTTTTTGGAATTTCGCGAAACGATACTACCAATCATCGGAAGCAAAAATACAAATAAATCGCAAAGCAGGCAAATTCAGTCATTACGAACAGCAGCCAGGATATGACAATTAGCATTTTAGTAAACTGTGCATTGATGAGAGGTATTTGTAGGAAAGCTGTCAATAGCGCCTCAGTTTTATATTTCCTTTCAGACTGATATTTACGACCCAACGGGCACGCACGGAGGTTTTCAAACAAGATCAACAACCAGAAAGGCTTCATCTTGTCAAACATCAGAGATATTTCTGAGGAATTTGAAGACGTCACGCGCAAACGGGACCCCACGCTTATCCCATCTGTCCGATCTCGCAAGTAGCCAGTCAGGTGCAGTTCGTTTCCTGAAAACTCGCATCATAATTAGATTAACTCACGAAAGTACGCTTGTCAACTTAATGAACTGAGTTAGCACTCGAGGCTCCTATTCCTCTATTTTTACGTGGGACCTACAGCATTGATTATATTCTTAATCAGTCAAAATTGTTTTAATATTTAACTGAGCTGTAAAACCGAAAATATGTCCCAAAAACTCCGTGAAATATCCGTTAAAACGTGAATCGTGAAAAAATGTAAGTTATGCAAGAGGCTGGGTGTGTGCATGACGCTTCCTGCATAATGTGTCCCGGCAACTAAGTGCAATGTAGGTGGATACAGTAGGTGGGCTAACTCATGAAATGTCAACCGAAATTTCGAAATTCGTTCTCGTTTCGAAAAGATTAATTGAGTAGATTTGTGAAACTAACCATCATACAGTATATTTTTACAATAAGCCAGTTACCTCAGGGTCCCGGCTTTCGAATGAAATTATTTCCGACTGCGTGCAAGAACTACACTCTGCAAAAAATGACTTCTTAGGCAGCATGCAATTTTCTTATTGAGTTTTGACACTCGTAAAATTCCAACGATATTTTTTGAAAAACAAGCATGAAAATACTCATTCGTCTACTTATTCGGTAGAAAACCACGTCTTCTTTCAAGTTTATTCGCGAAAGAAGAGTATATTTCGGGTTTAATAGAATTTTTGAATTCCGGAATAATTCTGTACCCGACTTGCATACAGGATTTCTAAACAACAAGCCATATATTTTCCTTGTTCACAAAAACATACCTTTATCTATGGTATTAAGAGGATACCATACGGGGTTAATTAAAATTATGTTGTGGATTTGAGCAATATTGTGACCTTTACAAGTCACATGGGTAAATGGAGATACATGGCGTTATATGAACGGCCCCTTCACGGTATTAAAAAATGTCATAATAAGAAAACGATTTAAGACCGAATTATACTACCCCTTGAGTATAAATTTGAAAGAAGACGTGGTTTTCTACCGAATAAGTGGGCGAATGATTATTTTCTTGCCTGTTTTTCATGAAGTATCATTGAATTTTTGCAGGTGTCGAAAGTCAATGGAAAAATTGCAGGCAGATTAAGTAGTCATTTTTTGCAGAGTTTTGTTCTTGCACGCAGTCGAAAATAAGTTCATTCGAACGCCGGCAGCCTGAGGTAACTGGTTCATCATACAATTATGCCGTAGGATGATTAGTTTCACAACAATTCTTCATTCATCTTTTCGAAAGGAGAACGCATTTCGAAATTTCGACTGACATTTCATGAGTTAGCCCACCTACTGTATGTCTAAGACCAATATAATCGGAGGTGTTTTTATTGAGAAATATTTGCAATGACAGACAAATGTATGTTAAAGTGGTATGCTTTTAGGATTCGCGCTTATTATCGGCCGACCAGTTTGGAATTTTTGTATTGAAAAAATATGGTGATTTCTTGCACCAAATATAGGTAAATCTGCATTTTAAATTAATTTAATTTACCGATGTATAATAATTCTCCGTGTAATGTCATATTGGAGAAGGACACTCATTCTGGGGTTATGTCCATGTGTCTTAATGCCAGTCTGAATTAATACGTGCTGAGCCGGGGATACGTTTCTTTAGACAAATAGTCTTAACTACCCTCCCAATGCGTGTTCTGTAATGAAACCAACTAATGGGCGTAGGCATATGTTCCTCCTCACCACTAAACTTAACTTATAGGCAACAGTCCACAGTCAGTTTGCACTCCATCTATTTCCGATGAGTAAAATCCTGGGGCAACAGTTAACTGTCAACAAGTTCACACTACTGCCAGCACCGATAGAAAAGTTGGTTATGCCAAATTAATCAACAGTTTTTTCCTACTCTCTGCCTATTGGCGGCTTGGTAATAATACGTGGTCATTTTGGTGAAAATTTTACCACTGCCTTCCCGAACGACCTTGATGTTGTCTGGTGTCTGGTGTGTGGCACTTCGCGTCTCCTTGCCCTCCGCTGCTTGTCACGCTGCCCACCTGTCCACCTCATACTCCCTTTCGACCGACGCCAATCAGCACTCTCTCTCTTCTGATTGGCTGGCGGAGGGCAGGGAGACGTGAACTGCCACAAGTCAAACATATCGATTTCTGAGCAAAATACGGAGCATGACGATCAATTGCCGTTTGACATACTCAAGTACGCACGCAGGGGTGTGACTGCCTATGCATGTCCAGTCCAATTCAGCTCAGGTCATTTGTGGGTAGTGTAAGTCTGCACCTTTGAACTTATAGCATCTCAAAAATTGGAAAAGATGTCAAAAAGGTAAGAAATTATCGGATAAGCGTCAGTTCTGTACAGATAGACGGACTGTTTCAAGTGTTAGTGGTGCGAGCAGTAGTACAGTAGTTGTTTGGAGTGCAGTGGAAGAAAGGTATCCTAAGTGACAAAAAATGCATGAGTACATGCCAGTAAGCGCAGGCGATGGATTGGAGACAATAATGAATTTCACTAAATATGTTATTGAAATACATTAAGTAGTATAAAACGATGGGGTTTTCGATTTTGCCAAGGTTACAGAGGTTGGGTGGTATTATAGTGGACACCGCTATACAAATCCAGCTTCATTTTAAAGACCTCGAGAAAAGCTGACATAACGACATCCAGAGTCAGGGTATTCAACGCTTCGATCAGTCTCTTAGAGAAGAACTTTCGGGCGTCCAGCCTGGCCCCCGTCACACGTAGTTTGAATGGATGGCGTTTCATGTTCGGGGTAGTTGCTAACTCGAGGAAGTCCATCGGTGCAAGGGTGCGGTCCTGACCGCTTATGCTACGCAAAGTTCGTATCATGTCATCCAGTAACTTCCTGCAGCTCAAGGGAAAGTGATCAGGATTAGCCAGCCGTGTTTCATTAAGAAGCGAACACTGTCCTGTCCCAAGATTCGTTACACACTTTTGAACCTTTTCCAGATTGTTGAGGTCCTTCAGAGTCCAGGATCTCCATGCTTGTATAGAAACATTCGATTGTGGCCGAACAAACGTTCTAAAGACTTTAGCGAATCAGTCTTCGCCAAGGGCAGAGAAAGCCGGCTTGACAAGACAGACAACTGACATTAGGTAACAAATAATCGGATAAGCGCCAGTTCTGTATAGATAGACGGACTGTTTCAAGTTTTAGTGGTGCGAGCAGTAGTACAGCAGTTGTTTGGAGTGCAGTGGAAGAAATGACAATGAATGCATGGGTACATGCCAGTAAGCGCCGGCGATGGATTGAGGACATTAATGAATTTCACTAAATATGTTATTGAAACATAGTCAGTAGTATAGAAACGATGGGGTTTTCGCTTTTGCCAAGGTTACAGAGGTTGGATGGCATTATAGTGGACACCGCTATAAAAATCCAGCTTCATCTTAAGGACCTCGAGAAAAGCTGACATAACGACATCCAGAAGCAGGGTATTCTGAGCTTCGAGCACTCCGGTGGAGAAGATGAACTTTCGTGTGCCCAGCCCGGCCCCGATCACATGTAGTTTGGATGGATGACCTATTAGGTTGGTGGTTGTTGCTAACTCGAGGAAGTTCCCCAGTACAAGGCTGCAGTACTGTTCGCGTATGATAGGAATTGATTGTATCAGGTCACCCCGTAACTGCCTGTAACACGAGGGACAGAGATCAAGATTAAGTAACTGTGTTTCAAAGGGTAGTGAACCCTGTTCAGCCACAAGATTCGTGCCACGCCTTTGAGCCCGTCCAAGGACGCTAAGGTCTCTAAGCTTGAATAGCAAACATGGATTGCGGCAGAACAAACGTTCGAAAGACTTTAGCTAACCAGTCTTCGCCAAGGGCAGAGAAAGGCGGCTTGACAAGACAGACAACTGACATTGCAGACTTGGCTGCCTTCGTGCACTGCAGCGAGGGTTTGAGCGAGATCGTAATCCATATTCCCAGGTCCTGCGAGTCCACTTCTTGCAGTGACATATCATTTAGACAGAAAGCCATTGGGCTCAGAGAGCTGGTTCTGCTGACTTGAAAAATATTGCAGCTGTTCTCACTGGACGGTACTATTGGAGTCGGTTAGGTTCGCCTGCAAATGCCCTTCGTCATTTGTAGGTCGAATGACGCTACAAAGCTTAATATCATCGGCGAACATGGCGAAACCACAATCCAGTTCACAAACGCGTCCATTTACATAAACAATGAACGGAGTCGGATAAAAAACTGAGTTTTGGTGAACGCCGCTTTCAACGGCAACCTCAGCCGACTGCTGGTCACCAACATCAACAAATTGAGAACGGTCAAATTGGAAGCTTTGAAATCATTTTAAGAAATTACCCTTAACGTCTGTTCAGTTTAGTTTGTGCAGAAGTCTCTGACGTGAGACACTATCAAATGCCTTTTTAAAGTCAATATAGATTGCATACAGCGTATTGTCTTCATCAACTGACCGAGTTCAGCGTCCCAAACAGTTGAGCAAGTTAGTCACTCAAGAGCGGCCACTACGGAACCAATGCTGCGCATCAGATAATAGATTATGCTGCTCTAAGAAGCGCATTAGATCTCGCTTTATTATGTTTTCCATAATTTTGCAGCAGTTGGAATTGGAGCTAATTGGTCTGCAATCTTCTTCAGAGGCCGTGCTTCCACCGTAGTATATCAGGCTGATCCGCTAAGATAACCAGACGGCCTCCAACGAATCCAGGAAAAGCATGGCCAGTGGTTTGGCTATTTCAGTAAGGAGCTCTTTCAGTAACCTAGACGGTACGTAATCTGGGACCGGTGATTTCCACTTATTTAGCGTCATCAGCTCTTTACGAAAAGTCGCCCCATCAAAAGATACAGCCTCAATTTTGGACCCTCATCAAAGTCGTAGTCGAGAGTTGTAAATGCGCTTTCGCGTGTAAAGATAGATTTAACAAATTGTGAAAGGTGTCCAGTTTTTGCTCCATCCTCACTAATATCTAGGTCCCCGCTTGTCATTCAGGAGGTGGAAAGGATCTCTGTTTCGCGTGCTGCTTCCTATGTAATTGCAGAATAATTTCCGATTTTCCACAACAGGATTCCGTAGGTTCCTCTGTGCTTTGTGTGCGTTTACGAACGCAGGTTTTCTCTCAGTGACAGATTTCTGTCGCAATCGCCGTCGTTTATTTACTTCCTATTTTGACGCCTGAGTCATCCACCGGGGTCGCTTATTTAGCCCCGTCCGTGAACCTTTTCCAATCCTTCGCTATATTTCCGCAAATGACTGATTCCCAATCTGTATTGTTGACTTCGACCTTCATTTGGTTGAACTCCCCACGCAAAATATTTCTAATAATTTTGGTGGGCTGTTAAGGCAGGGAAAAGATTGAATAGTCCCATTGAAGTACGACGTGATCGCTTCGACCTAGGGGAGGCAGACATTGCACCCCATCTATGCTGTTAGCCACTGGAGCCGTTTCCAGTGTCTTGCACGCGGTTCTTGCAATCTTATACTTTAAAAGACGTTTGAGGTCTTCTTTAATTTCCGTGGAATCTAATGCGCAAACTTAGAGTTAATCTATCGAAACATAACTTTTCAAGCACGGCCAGAATTTCGCTATGAGCATTTGAGCTGAAATCCATCAAAGAGAAGGTGTGGCGAGTGCGAAGATACTAAGCATGCCCGATTCAACTATGGTGACGTTTACTTCCAAATGCACTGACCAATGGCCTAATAAACTACGGCTACCTACTACGACGCAAATGCTGTACAAAACGTGTGAAATATAACATGATATTTTATGGACGCGCACTGTCCAATATGCAGTCTCAAGCAATGTGAAATGTCATCAGTATTCAGAAATAAACGCACGAATGCAAACATCATAATTCAACGTATTAACTGGTCCTCTAACAGGAAGGTCACGGAACAGAAGATACAAAACACCTCTACTAACGTCTCCCAAATAAAGACTAACTGCAATCCTTTAAATTCCCAAGGTGCATTAGTTACGTTCACTCGCGAAATATTAAACTAAATTCCGAAATGCGTTTTCCTTTCGAAAGGACTAATCAAGTTGCGTTGTAAAAGTTGTGACCGTACAACCTTATTCTATAATAATCTAGTTACTTCGGGATGCCGGCTTTCAAGCAAACTTCTTTTTGGTTGAAGGCAAAAGTCAAACCATGCAAAAAATGAGTTCTTACGTCATGAATGTTTCTCATTTATTTTCGAGGCCCTTAAAAATTTAATTATATTTCATAGAAAATATGTATAGCAATATTCCCTCTTCTACTCATTCGGTAAAAATGATTTTGTCTTCGAAGTTTATACTCGAAAAAATATTACAGTTTGGTTTTGAAAATTCTTTCCAAATCCCTAATAAATTTGAACCCTACCTGCCGTTGCACTTGCACTAAGAGTTTACAATCTATAAACCACATATTCTTTGCGTACATAAAACTCTATGTTTATACAAGGTATTAAGAGGAAACCATATAGGGTTCATAGAGCTTAGTAGTGGTTCAGAGCCATATTGTTGACTTCATAAGCCACATTAGTAAATGTAGAGCAATGAAGTTTTATGAATTGCCATTTCAAAGTAGTAAAAAACCTCACAATTAGAAACGTCTTTAAAACCGAATAACACCATTTTTGTCGAGTATACATTTGAAAGATTACATGCTTTTCTACTGAATGAGCCCCATAATGAAAATTTTTATAAATATCTTCTATGAAACATGGTTAAATGTTTATGAACATCGACACTAAATGAGAAAATTGCACAGCGAACAAGCAGTGCCTTTGGCAGAGTACAGTTTCTGCATGCAGATGATAAGACGCTCGTTCCGAAACCGTCATCCTGAGATAACTAAATTATTATAGACTTACGCTGCACGATGATTAGTTCTACATCCCCAATTAGATAATCTTTTCCAAACGAAAACGCATTTCTGAATTTCGTTTGACATTTCACGAGTTAGCCCACCTAGTGTATCACTTCTTGGCAGCGCCAGTAGGAAGTCCTGTAACCGTGTTTCGGGATGCGAGAGGGATGGACGCAGTGGACTAAAAACGAGCAAAAACCAACGGTCAAAATAACAAGTGACGCATTGCGTGAATACAGCCTTGTCTACGATGATGAGACATCGTTAGATATCATAGTCGACACCTAGCAGCATCGGCAAGCCGGAAGAGCAGGAAAACCTACGTCGTCGTTAATTGTATCTTTACGCGTAGGATGTTATAACGGCCTTGGCCGTTTTTGTTATTGTCAGCGCATTTTGAACCACTATTTACGTTTGTTTTTACAGATTTCATTAACCGATTCTCTAGCAGAATAATACAGAAACCATGCTCAGGGCCACGGATCAGAGGATAAAACACTCCTTTTTTGACGTCTTTTAATAAAGACAGTGTGGAGTCCTATCAAGGCTTGAGGTAAGATTTCTTGGCAGCGAAAATACGGAGTCTCGTAACTGTGCTGCGGGATGCGAGACCTACGCACGGAGGGGACCAAATAGGAGAAAAAAATAACTCTCAAAATAAAACGTGACGCATTTTATGAATATACCATTAGCTACGATAAAGACGCCTTGTTGAATAGGATGGTTAACGCCTAAGATCATCGGCAGGCCGGTGGAGCATTTGTTAACTCCAATTAGGAAGATCTACGTCGTCGTTAAATTTATTTTTAGACGTGGAATATTATAAGGTTCTTAACAGTTTTATTAATGCCAGCATATTTAAACGTACTTTTTAGATTTGTTACAAAAGATTTCAGTGTACTTCAAGGTAGGGGAACTCATGTGGTAACACACGTGAATGCAATTTGGTAGCTTTCGATATGTTAGCACACATTTTGGGCAAAATAAATAACCTCAAGCAAGTGTCTTGTGGTAATACGCAATCTGAACGTCACTGTATCCGAAGAAAACTCCCTACCATTCGCCAGTAAACAAGTAGGTTTTCCCAAATTCTGCACATTTGCACAATATGCCTCATATCACTCGACTGCATATTTCCGAAAATTCGACTGTGTTTTGCAAGCTACTAAGAAAGTTGAGTTTAATGTATCAGTCAAAAAGGCTACTAGTTTGAGGGCACTAGAAATGCAGACATAATCGTGTGTATCGTGGATGTGAGAAGTGAGAAATGTCTCGTCAATTAAAACTCCACTTGCCACTACACAGTAGCCTTTCTAATCTGGATAGCAAGTCAAGTACATTAATCGTTCGCTAGCTCCTTCTCTGACTTTCACGGCTTCACTCTATCGCGGATCGTCAAGCCACGCATGCCTAGATACAGATTGTGACTGCCCTCATGAAATTTTGGCCAAAATTCTGCAATACCTGCTCGAGTTAAAAGGCTTACTAAGGTGTAACTGTCGGACTTATTAGCATGCAGCTTGTCCTGTAGTTTTTCGTGCTTGTCAGGATTTCGGCTTTTAAATGCTCTTCTTTTCGGCTTACTGCAGCAAACTCAGACGGTAACAATGACTACTGAATTAGCATTCATCTTTCACATTAGTTTTCAATGGTCATATAAATTCACATATACGTTTTGTAGAACATGCACCAAAATATGCCCTCTTCTACGTGTTTAATGGAAAATCACAATGTCGTAACTTTTTATACCAGGGAAAAATGTTTCCAAGTTCCTGAATAATTTTGAGCCTCATCAGCGTTGGCATTTTGTAAATTCACACTACAAGGTTTATGCTTCCGAGTAAAGAGCATCACGTATTCCTATATGCCGATAAGAAGATATTATATGGAGTTCTAAAATGTTGTAATGGATGCGGACTATGTTGGACATTTCATGAGGAGCATTGAAAAACGGACATGTGCGAGGTTGTGTGTATTGGCATCGCAGATCTAAAAAATCCCACACTAAGAAACTTTTCCAAAACGTAAATATACACTATCCTCGGGTATGATATTTTGGGACATTGCGATTTTCTACAAAACGGGTAGAATAAACCGTATTCTTATGCCTATTTTCTATAAAACATGTTTGACTTTCTAAGACCATCGAAAATCAATGTAAAAAGGGCATGCCAATTCAGTAGTCATTATTTATGAATGTGGTTTCTGTAGTAGGACGAAAAGAAATGCATCGAAAAACCGACATCCTGTCGAGCACGAAATACTACAGGATTATGCTGCATGCTAATCAGTGTTACAGCTCCACCTTAGTACTCCCTCCAAATCGAAAGTTCATTTCAAAATTTCGGCCAACATTTCATGACATCGGTCACACACTGTATATAGCGCGGAATGTAAGTTGGTTCGCGTTTCTGTTATGTGTTTCCTAGGTGGTTTGGTAAGTTATTTTTCTGAACATTAAGTCGACGACCGTAGTTTTTCAAATATGTATTATTGCATTGTATTTATAACTGTACTGTGTAATAAATAAAACTACTTAAGGATATGCACACATATCCCTGTGAGTAGTATATACAAGGTGTGAACAACTACATAATTTCAATGAATTTTATCTTGTATCTGCGCGACTGTAGGGGGTTTATGCTGCATATTTGTGTAAAAAGTGTTTGAAGTGTGCACGATGGTGTATAAGGGAGTAAGGTATGTAAAAATAGACACAAAACGAACGATATTTAATTGGCGGACTTTAGCTTTTCGCAGGGGTCTTGGAAAGGAATCGCCGCGATCCAACGAGGGTCATTAAATTAATTTACCGCTGCCAGTGAAAAGGGAACATGCACAGAATTTATAAGTCACCTTAAAATTGGTATGTACACAAAAGGTTTAACTTTGCGCTTATTCCGCTTCAGGCCCACGATCAATAATCATGCTTGGTGCAGCCCCTTTCTCGCTGCTCGTACTGTGGCCTCCACGAGAGGATAGTCAATTAGCATGATGTCAGCGCAATTTCACACCATCACATGCACGCTATCACGACCACCGCCGGTGGGGTGTTCATGGTCAAGGAATTTTACGTTGTCCTATTATTGGTGTGCATGAGGCGATGCAAAACAACCGTAAAAACAATGCGCTCCGCATATGGTAGAAGACGGCCTTGCCTACACCAGACACACTTTCTACTAGTGCTCCTCTCACGACAGTATAAATAGATCTGCTAAAAGCAGAAGGACCATATATTCCAGTCTACCCAACGGTTTTAATTTCGTGCCGACTAACATTTTAGTTTGGGCATCAGCCAATGTATCTTCTGCCATCATTGACTGCTCTGGTCTTTTTGAATTTCCGACCCTGCGACTGCCGTAAGTTAAGAAATTAAAGCATTACCTTCACACGCTTTAAGAGGGACGTCTTCTAGCTGTTCAGCAAGACACCAACATCGACTATCTTTTCGCGATTGATTCAAGCTATGTGGTATGTGAATTAATGACTGCTAACTAATTTGAAACCTCTAAAATAAAACATGCTTACACAATTTCTTTCTCGTAGTTTCATTCGTCGACTTCCGGATTTGTGCAGGGAACGGCACAACGTCCATGTCAACCTCCGACTAATTGTGTAGAATTTTACCCAGGTGTGTTGCTGAACCTCTTTTATTGTTCTTCTTTATTTCAACGTTCTTGAATGTCGACATCATAACCCCACCCAAGACGGGTACTATATAATTCAAAGTTAACAAGATATGTCTTTGAATGTAGACTAGGAGTGGAATGTAAAGTAGATCCCAATAAGACCACTCACAACTATAGTATATGTACATAGTAATATTTTGCAATAGTTTTCTCAAGCCACAAGCCTATGACATAGTCAGCCCAAATAAACTTTCTTTTTCGACCTTTTATTGACTTCTCCATTAAAGAAAAGAGGAGTTTTATGATCAAGGCCGACAGTCACGCAAACTACTCTGCGGTAATTCTCACGCCCGAAGCATCTGACCGAGCTCAAATCGCAATCGTCATAGTGAATGAGGGAGAATTTTTTCCAGGTATGCTTTAAATGATAATGCATTTGCCAAAACATTGAAAGTTAGAACTTGTCTCTAAAATCAAGCTGCATAAAACTCTACGTTAATCAAGGAAATGATAACCTATTAACTTATCTCCCTGTTACATTCGTAGACCTTCGTGGCGTCCAGTTCATAAAACCTGTTATCTTCAAATCATTCAATGAGAATTCATTTGGCGTGATCTTGGATGAAAATGTAAAGGTAATAGAAGAACAAATAAATTTTGTATTTGTCTAACTGATATGAAACAATGCGTTTTAACTTAGTCAGTCTGAAATTCGAAAATTAACTGCCCGCGAAGATTTTAACTTAAGCAGTTTTGATTGTTTTCAGGAATTTAAACTCATGGGAAACATCAGCAAATATGGCTCGCCTTCAACCGGTACAGGCCTGGAAATAGTTATTCCCAATGGTAAATTACTTTCCACTTAATTGGACAAAGAAGCGCCAAAAATATTTACCTCCAGTTTACATTTTTAGAACGAGTTAAGGTTGGGCAGTACAAAATCATGAGAGTTACAGGACGTGTGGCGAGGCAACGTCTATCATTCTCCTTGACAGACAATGCCGGAAACTTACCTACTTACGATTTCACACCTAGCAGCAATGCACCCATTTTGATGATGCAAACACGTTTACTTCAGTGGCCGAAGACATCCAAAACATCAGGAGCATTGGAACATACAAAATGGAGCGCCTTGCTCATAAGCGTGACTGCCTTGTATACAGTTTAAAAAGCAAGCAAAACATAGGCCCGTCGAGAACATTGTTATGCAGTCCTATTATTTTGTCCTTAGACTTCGTATTTGAATAGTGTTCGTTCATTCAGTCTTCAAAGGGTTTGTTGAATAGTTTTTTAGGTTATCGTATGTCAATTTGATAGTGGAAAATTGACAGAACGCCAAAATTTGGAAAGGATCTTAAACAAAAATTTTTGACTCTAAAGAAGTGAGAAAACTCACAGCGCCAAAATAATTACGGTGCAGTTACGCCTTCGAGGGAAAAGTAAAAGAGGCCAGCATAAGGTGTGTATTCTAAACATAACCCCAGCCTGAACGCGTATCTGTTCGTGAATGAAAAAGCGTCACATGAAAGGCAGTCAGTGTCCGCTTGCTCGGCTGATAGTGGAGTTTGTGGGCGCCTGCGATTAACCATCAGCGGAACTGAACTTTTTCTTGTGTTGTGGCCGGGCGCCGTGATCATGTAATTCCTGGGATGGGCACCAGAGATGAAAGGCTTATTGCCGAGAGAGGTGATGCAGAATGACCTTCGACAAAAACCTATTGCGAAAGAAGTAGTTTCCCTAGACTAACAAACAATAAATGCGACCATGCACACAGAATACGTCCAGACTTGACTAGGTATAATGGGCGATGGACTTATAGATGACGCCTCCAGAACAGAGCTTCAACTCCGACAGCAGATTCCCGCTGGCAATACATTTAAATGCCTTTCCGCCAGATGATTCAGCGTCGAATTACAGCAATTCAGATGACAGGTCAGCAGATATATACTCTCTTTTCGAGTTGGAATAGTCAACCTCGAGCTGAACTAAAAATAGATGCTTGGTCTAACTGACGAAATTGTGGAAAAGTCAGCAACCGCGATGTGATATGGATCCACTTTAAGATGGTCAATGCTGTGTTCTGATAAACGCTTTTACAACCTCAGCAATGATGCCTCCAATGGAATGGAAGTAATTCCGCACACGATGGGAAGGGGACGCTTACTGAACACAAATTGACAAGGGTTTAGTCAAGGATTGGAAAGAATAGGGCGAATTGACTCGGAATGTAGTGGGACCTGGAGGTTATTCTAGGTTTATGAGATAGTACTGTAACTGCACCTTGTTTGGATTCCGACTACTGAGGCGCTAAACACGGGTTGGATTCCAAGGCATGACAGATTAGTCAGTCAGCTGCATAACGGTGTGCAGATTAACAATCTTACCAACAACTTTATTTAATTATTCAATGGACAATTTGAAGTAATGCTTGCTGGTCAAAAGCAAACATTTTATTCCGGTTAAACTTCTTAGAGTTTATGCCAGCAAATCTGCAATTTTGACTGTTTTGCGAATACAAGGACCGAAACGCAGACAACTCGTCCGGTTTGAGGGAAATATAGATTGGTAGTTTTCAAGTTGTGTGACCAAGAGTATGAAATGGCCGTTTAAAATATGCAGGTTTATTATGGCCTTGGTGTGCGAGGAGACGGTGAAGAACTACTGGGGATACATATAGCTTTCGGACGCAAGTTATGTAAACAATCGCACTGCTATACCCGCATGTTAGCACGCGTAATGCTAGCATGTCCTAATTCCCACAGTGGACGCGACCGGTCCACTGCACCGTTAGACGGCGTGAAACCACCAACGCCATGACCAGTCTCCGTGATTTCGTTCCTCCTTCAAAATGTGTTGAAAGCCTCAGCGTGATACCACGGCAGTTCGAGGGATCACAAGTCCTTATGCCTTGAATACGGAACCCAAGTTTCGCAAACTTATCTTCGTTTGTGTCTGATGCTTGTTTGTGTGTGCGCAGGTACTTATTGGCATTTCCAGATTCCGGTGGTTGAACCGGCTTGTCCTAGTCCGAATGAACAAAATCTTGGTTGAAACAGTGAGACGTCAGTCATTCTGTTCATTCGTCAGTTCAACCTTCGCATTCTCAGATGTTATTACTAAATAAACTAAGTCCCTCCTTCTCGTAATGCATCAAAGGAGAAACGTCATTTATAGCTATTAGGTAGATATATGAATAACGCCTGCGACCTAGTGTATTTGTGCATATGATTTAGTGAAAGTGTTCAACTCCATGATTAACTTTGGATAAGGCCAGATATAGTAGAATTACAGAGAAACATTTTCTAAGGCACAATAAATGCGAAAGTCGGCATTCGATGTGTTTCAATATAAACCACGTCCATTCAATGGAAAGGCATTGTGGCATTGTCGTTTATATTTTCAGCAGTTGTAAATATAAAACATCAGGTTATGTCCGCCAGCCAAATAAGAAAACACATTAATCACAAGGACGTGGTTTGTGTTTGAACTATTTGTGAACGTTGTGTCTTTGTTCACATGCGTGCGGTGAGTGTTTTCGTTACTTCTTCATAGAGGATTACATTTTATACTTAAGGAAAGAGTTGATTTAGGTTTTTTAAAAGTTTCCTATTGTGGAATTATTTAAATCCGTTCGACATCCATTCATACAGCATCGTATATGTCCATTTTTGAATGCTTATCATGAATAACACAGCACTGTTCTCATCCATTATGTATTTTATGAACGCTCTGTGGCATACTCTTAAAGGCATAGGGGAATATAGGCATCCCTTTATGCGAAAAAAATGTAATTTGTCGACTGAATTCGCTAAATGCCAATGCAATGGCTCATCGTGCTCAAAATTATCCGGTAATAAGGAAACTTGCTCAAAACCTAAATATACCCTTTGTTCGGCAACACGCTGTGAGAACAACATCATTCTCTCACAAATGAGTAAAGGAAAGCATGTTGATTAGCGTTCTTCTTATGAAACATTTAAATTTATAAGACCACCAATAATCAATGCAAACCTGCAGGCTAATTAAGTAGTCATATTTTAACGAGTGCTCTTTCTACAGGAGTTTGAAAAAAGCACATTCAAAAGCGGACATTCTGGCAAGTCTGAAACACTGTAGGATTATGCTGCATGGTTATTAATATTACAACTCCACCCAAGTGAGCCTTTTTACGTACTCTAAAACAAAAGAGCACTTTTGTCACTGTATGGAATTACGGCCAGTAACTTTCTGCCGTCACTGAAACCGACGCATGCACAGTTTTCTTCGATGATTTTTAAATTGGACCCACTACATCCATCACATCTGTGCGCCAATTATTCTGCAGGAGTACTGCTAATAGTCCTGCGTCAGACATCTATCTTTCATTTATTGACCTGTTGCCTCGGTGAGCTAACAGATCGTTGTCTTATATGCTTGTTTCGACCTGTACTTATGTCCTGCGATGCACAAAATGTCTGTCCTACGATGACAAATCGTCTTACAATTCAATATACGTCAGCTCATGGTGCATGTGGTGAAAGTGAGTACATTATGTCGGATGAATTATTTAGTCGTTAGTGATCAAAACATCTATATACTAATACACACCTTGGAAACCTTTGCTATCGTAAGGATCCATTGATCGTTCCACAGTAATTTTTATTTGCACGGACTTGAAAAATTTTCGAAATAATATTCCTAGGCCATTAAGCATGACTGACTCGACTATGGGGTCGGAATCCATTCATCCCAACAGCACATGGAATCTTAGAAATAATCTACTTTGGCGCTGAAAACGGGAAGATTAGCAATAGCAAACCCACAAAACTTCGCCCCACTCCGTGCTGAATGTTGCTTTGCGTGGGCCGTTGCTACACGTCAGCTCACTTAGAAGGCTGTCGCAATCTCATGAAAATATCGACCGGTGCCATTCATCTAAGGCAACAACAAAAATCCGCTCGGCACGAGGAGGACAATTAAAAACCACCCGCACCCAAGAGACGTAGAGAAAAACACTTTGAATCATCAAACAAAGTCATGCTATGCCAAGACACCCACTGAAGCCTCATCGTACACACGTCAGGCTAAAGAGTTATGATTTACGGTTTTTATGCTTTCTTGAAAATGAATCGCTAGCCTGAAGCAACGCAGTCTAAATTAAGCTTCCTTAGCTTGGGCGGAGTGCTTGTGAAGTTTATAAAGACAGTCAAATGATCAAGCCTACGTCATTGCCTACGTTCTTTTTCACAGTGGCGTTTATCAATTACACAACATTGTCCGGGTTCATTACAAAACTTTCTGAGCTATGTATGACTTCTTCTTAAAAGGACTAAGAGAACCACGTTGGTTTCTTACTCGGAAAATAGAAAACATGCAGTTAATTAGTCCTAAACAAAATTCGAGTGTAAAGTTTTGGAAAATCGAAAATATCATGAGTTTTGCAGGTACCCGTTGAAGATATAATCGTTTGGCAAAAAAGTCAAAAAAGACCTGTTTTATGCATATTTTTATAAAATTCACCATAACCTAAAATGGCACCATAAATCAATACGGAGAATTCATATACCGAGCGCAATTTTAGGCAGTGGGTTAAGATAAAGCACATACGGAATCCGGTAGTTTGAACTGATTAACATATCTTTGGTTTATGCTGTACGATAATTAATACCGCAATACCGCGTAAAAAAACATGTACAATCGGAACCGCGTTGCAGAATCTTAATTAGTATTTTTGAGATAGCCCGCATATTGTATGCTAAGATTGAAAATCGAAGGTTCGCCAGGTCTACCTTATTGGATTCAGCGTCAAAATCCAGATTCAAAAGAGATCGCTAGTTAAATTGACAGTTAAATCAGCAGTCGGCCTATGAAGCCTGTTCGTATTGAGCGAGTGCGGATTACATTATGTTTTCTTAAACGCAGAGAAACATTTTCCCAATTTATATGCGATGCATTGATAAACGGACAGAATGTTTACTTTGCACTCCTTATAGGTCTCTACTTCTGGAAAGCGAATGAGAAATCCGTGAATATTTTATGTGTGCCCAATTATTTCAAGGGATAAAAGAGTAATGGAAGTAATCTTATTAAACATATTGACGTCTTCTATACCATCTGATGGGTCACGGGTTGACAAACTCCAGCATTAAATTTTTTTGTAGCATAGCCGACAAAACTTAACGTTAAGGTCTGGCCTTACCTTAATGACAGAATGTGTAATGCCTTTCTTTAATGAAGAATACATTGCTGCGCTTCCAAACAGCGTTCAAATTGGAAACGGGAAAGCGAAAAAAGTACGCCTGGTCAATGCATCGCCTGCCCCATCTAGAAGCCGCGTGTCTTGGTAAACCCGGGAAAACCGTGATTCCAAGTGTACCTTCTGTGTAAATACATCTGGCGACAACTGCGACTCGCATGCTGAGCGTTTGACCAGTTACTATGAAAGAGAGAACGAAAGTGCAATTAGCGCTTTGGTAACGCTTTTTGGAATTTCGCGAAACGATACTACCAATCATCGGAAGCAAAAATAGAAACAAATCGCAAAGCAGGCAAATTCAGTCATTACGAACAGCAGCCAGGATATGACAATTGGAATTTTAGTAAACTGTGCATTGATGAGAGGTATTTATAGGAAAGCTGTCAATAACGCCTCAGTTTTATATTTCCTGTCAGACTGATATTTACGGCCCATCGGGTACGCACGGAGGTTTTGAAACATGATCAACAATCAGAAAGGCTTCATCTTGTCAAACATCAGAGATATTTCTGAGGAATGTGAAGACGTCACGCGCAAACGGGACCCCACACTTATCCCATCTGTCCGATTTCGCAAGTAGCCAGTCAGCTGCAGTTCGACTCCTAAAAAACTCGCATCATAATTAGATTAACTCACGCAAGTACGCTTGTCAACTTAATGGACTGAGTTAGCACTCAAAGCTCCTATTCCTATATTTTTCAGCGGGACATTTAGCATTGATTATATTCTTAATCAATCAAAACAGTTCCACAGATTAACTGAGCTGTAGAACCGAAAATATGTCCCAAAAACTCCGTGCAATATCCGTTAAAACGTCAATCGTGAAAACATGTAAGTTATGCAAGAGGCTGGGTGTGTGCATGACGCTTCCTGCATAATGTGTCCCGGCAACTAAGTGCAATGTAGGTGGATACAGTAGGTGGGCTAACTCATGAAATGTCAACCGAAATTTCGAAATTCGTTCTCGTTTCGAAAAGATTAATTGAGTAGAGTTGTGAAACTAACCATCATACAGTATATTTTTACAATAAGCCAGTTACCTCAGGGTCCCGGCTTTCGAATGAAATTATTTCCGACTGCGTGCAGGAACTACACTCTGCAAAAAATGACTTCTTAGGCAGCATGCAATTTTCTTATTGAGTTTTGACACTCTTAAATTTCCAACGATATTTTATGAAAAACAAGCATGAATATACTACGTTTTTGGTAGAAAACCACGTCTTCTTTCAAGTTCATATCCAAAGGATGAGCATATTTCGGTTTTAAAAAAATTTTCGAATTCCGGAATAATTCTGTACCCGACTTGCATACATGATTTCTAAACAACAAGCCATATATTTTCCGTGTTCACAAAAACATACATTTATCTACGGTATTAAGAGGATACCATACGGGGTTAATTAAAATTATGTTGTGGATTTGAGCAATATTGTGACCTTTACAAGTCACATGGGTAAATGGAGATACATGGCGTTATATGAACAGCCCCTTCACGGTATTAAAAAATGTCATAATTAGAAAACGATTTAAGACCGAATTACACTACCCCTCTGAGTATAAAATTGAGAGAAGTCGTGGTTTTCTACCGAATAAGTGGACGAATGAGTATTTTCATGCATGTATTCCATGAAGTATAATTGAATTTTTACGGGTGTCGAAAATCAATAAGAAAATTGCATGCTACTTAAGTAGTCTCTTTTTGCAAAATGCAGTTCTTGCAAGCAGGTGGAAATAAGCTCTTTCGAAAGCCGGCACCCTGATGCCACTGGCTTATTATACAAGTATGCTGTACGATGGTTAGTTTCACAACACTACTTAATTAACCTTTTCGAAAAGAGAACACATTTCGAAATGTCGTTTGACATTTCATAAGTTTGCCCACCTACTGTTTGTCTAAGACCAACATAATTGGAGGTGTGTTTGCCATGAAATATTTGCGATGACAGACAAATGTATGTTAAAGTGGTATGCCTGCAGGATACGCGCTTATTATCCGCCGACCAGTTTGGAATTTTTGTATTGAAAATATGTGGTGATTTCTTGCACCAAATATCGGTAAATCTGCATTTTAAATTAATTTAATTTACCGATGTTTAATAATTCTGCGTGTAATGTCATATTGGAGAAGGACACTCATTCTGGGGTTATGTCCATGTGTCTTAATGCGATTCTGAATTAATACGTGCTGGGCCGGGGATACGGTTCTTTGGACAGATAGTCTTAACTACCCTGCCCAATGCGTGTTCTGTAATGAAACCAACTAATGGGCGTAGGCATATGTTCTTCCTTACCACTAAACTTAACTTATAGGCAACAGTCCACAGTCAGTTTGCACTCCATCTATTTCGGATGAGTAAAACCCTGGGGCAACAGTTAACTGTCCACCAGTTCGCACTACTCCCTGCACCGATAGAAAAGTTGGTTATGTCAAATTAGTCAACAGTTTTTTCCTACCATCTGCCTATTGGCGGCTTGGTAATGATACGTGGTCATTTTGGTGAAAATATTACCACTGCCTTCCCGAACGACCTTGATGGTGTCTGGCAGTAAAGAATTTCAGTGAGTCTGTGGCAGTTCGCGTCTCCTTGCCCTCCGCTGCTTGTCACGCTGTCCACCTGTCAACCTCACACTCCCTGTCGATCGACGCCAATCAGCACTGTCTCTTCTCTGATTGGCTGGCGGCGGGCAAGGAGACGTGAACTGCCACAAGTCAAACATATTGATTTTTGAGCAAAATTTGGAGCATGACGATCCATTGCCGTTTGACATACTCAAGTACGCACGCAGGGGTGTGACTGCCTATGCATGTCCAGTCCAATTCAGCTCAGGTCATTTGTGGGTAGTGTAGGTCTGCACCTTTGAACTTATACCATCTCAAAAATTGGAAAAGGTGTCACAAAGGTAACAAGTAATAGGATAAGCATCAGTTCTGTACAGATAGACGGACTGTTTCAAGTGTTAGCGGTTCGAGCAGTAGTACAGTAGTTGTTTGGAGTGCAGTGGAAGAAAGGTATCCCAATTGACAATGAATGCATGGGTACATGTCAGTAAGCGCAGGCGCTGGATTGGAGATAATAATAAATTTCACTAAATATGTTACCGAAATATAGAAAGTAGTATAGAAACGATGGGGTTTTCGCTTTTGCCAAGGTTACAGAGGTTGGATGGCATTACAGTGGACACCGCTATACAAATCCAGCTTCATCTTAAAGACCTCGAGAAAAGCTGACATAACGACATCCAGAGGCAGGGTATTCAAAGCTTCGAGCACTCCGGTGGTGAAGATGAACTTTCGTGTGCCCAGCCCGGCCCCGATCACGTGTAGTTTGGATGGATGACCTATTGGGTTCGTGGTTGTTGTTAACTTGAGGAAATCCCCTAGTACAAGGCTGCAGTACTGCTCGCGTATGATACGAATTGATTGTATCAGGTCATCCCGTAACAGCCTGTAACACGAGGGACAAAGATCAAGATTAGGTAACTGTGTTTCATAGGGTAGTGAATCCTGTTCTGCCACAAGATTCGTGCCACGCATTTGAGCCCGTCCATGGACGCTAAGATCTCTAAGCTTGGATAGCAAACATGGATTGCGGCAGAACAAACGTTCGAAAGACTTTAGCTAACCAGTCTTCGCCAAGGGCAGAGAAAGGCCGCTTGACAGAACAGACAACTGACATTGCAGACTTGGCTGCCTTCGTGCACTGCAGCGAGGCTTTGAGCGAGATCGTAATCCATATTCCCAGCTCCTGCGAGTCCACTTCTTGCAGTGACATATCATTTAGACAGAAAGCCATTGGACTCAGAGAGCTGGTTCTGCCGACTTGAAAAATACTGCAGCTGTTCTCACTGGACGGTACTATTGGAGTAAGTTAGGTTCGCCTGCACATGCTCTTCGTATTTGCAGGTCGAATGACGCTACAAAGCTTAATATCATCCGCGAACAAGGCGAAACCACAATCCAGTTCACAAACGCGTCCATTGAAATAAACAATGAACAGAGTCGGATAAAGTACTGAGTTTTGGGAACGCCGCTTTCAACGGCAACCTCAGCCGACTGCTGGTCACCAACATCAACAGATTGAGAACGGTCAAATTGGAAGTTTAGGAATCATTTTAAGAAATTATCCTTAACGTCTGTTTAATTTAGTTTGTGCAGAAGTCTCTGACGTGAGACACTATCAAATGCCTTTTTAAAGTCAATATAGATTGCATACAGCGTATTGTCTTCATCAAATGACCGAGTTCAGCGTTTCAAACTGTTGAGCAAGTTAGTCAAGCAAGACCGGCCGCTACGGAACCCATGCTGCGCATCAGATAATAGATTATGCTGCTCTAAGAAGCGCATTAGATCTCGCTTTATTATGTTTTCCATAATTTTGCAGCAGGTGGAATTGGGGCTAATTGGTCTGCAATCTTCTTCAGAGGCCGTGCTACCATCTTAGTATATCGGGCTGATCCGCTAAGATAACCAGACGACCTAGAACGAATCCAGGAAAAGCATGGCCTGTGGTTAGGCTAGTTCAGTAAGGAGCTCTTTCAGTAACCTAGACGGTACGTAATCTGGGCCCGGTGATTTCCACTTATTTAGCGTCATCAGCTCTTTGCGAAAAGTCGCCTCATCAAAAGATACAGCCTCAATTTTGGACCCTCATCAAAGTCGTAGTCGAGAGTTGTAAATGCGCTTTCGCGCGTAAAGATAGATTTAACAAATTGTGAAAGGTGTCCAGTTTTTGCTCCATCCTCACTAATATCTAGGTCCCCGCTTGTCATTCAGGAGGTGGAAAGGATCTCTGTTTCGCGTGCTGCTTCCTATGTAATTGCAGAATAATTTCCGATTTTCCACAACAGGTTTCCGTAGGTTCCTCTGTGCTTTGTGTGCGTTTACGAACGCAGGTTTTCTCTCAGTGACAGATTTCTGCCGCAATCGCCGCCTTTTATTTACTTCCTATTTTAACGCCTGAGTCATCTACCGGGGTCGCTTATTTAGACCCGTCCGTGAACATTTTCCAATCCTCCGCTATATTTCCGCAAATGACTGATTCCCAATCTGTATTGTTGATTTCGATCTTCATTTGGCTGAAGTCCCCACGCAAAATATTTCCAATAATTTTGGTGGGCTGTTCAGGCAGGGAAAAGATTGAATAGTCCCATTGAAGTACGACGTGATCGCTTCGACCTAGGGGAGGCAGAAATTGCACCCTATCTATGCTGTCAGCCACTGGAGCCGTTTCCAGTGCCTTGCAAGCGGTTCTTGCAATCTTATACTTTAAAAGACGTTTGAGGTCTTCTTTAATTTCCATGGAATCTAATGCGCAAACTTAGAGTTAATCTTTCGAAACATACATTTTCAAGCACGGCCAGAATTTCGCTATGAGCATTTGAGCTGAAATCCATCAAAGAGAAGGTGTGGCGAGGGCGAAGATACTAAGCATGCCCGATTCAACTATGGTGACGTTTACTTCCAAATGCACTGACCAATGGCCTAATAAAGTACGGCTACCTACTACGACGCAAATGCTGTACAAAACGTGTGAAATATAACATGATATTTTATGGACGCGCACAGTTCAATATGCAGTCTCAAGCAATGTGAAATGCCATCAGTATTCAGAAATAAACGCACGAATGCAAACATCATAATTCACCGTAGTAACTGGTCGTCTTACAGGAAGGTCACGGAGCAGAAGATACAAAACACCTCTACGAACGTCTTCCAAATAAAGACTAACTGCAATCCTTTCAATTCCCAAGGTGCATTAGTTACGTTCACTCGCGAAATATTAAACTAAATTCCGAAATGCGTTTTCCTTTCGAAAGGACTAATCAAGTTGCGTTGTAAAAGTTGTGACCGTACAACCTTATTCTATAATAATCTAGTTACTTCGGGATGCCGGCTTTCTAGCAAACTTCTTTTCGGTTGCAGGCAAAAGTCAAACCATGCAAAAAATGAGTACTTACGTCATAAATTTTTCTCATTTATTTTCGAGGCCCTTAAAAATTTGATTATATTTCATAGAAAATATGTATAGCAATATTCCCTCTTCTACTCATTCGGTAAAAATGATTTTGTCTTCGAAGTTTATACTCGAAAAAATATTACAATTTGGTTTTGAAAAATCTTTCCAAATCCCGAATAATTTTGAACCCTATCTGCCGTTGCAGGGTTTCCAAACTACAAACCACATATCTTCTGCGTACAGAAATCTCTATATATCTACAAGGTATTCTGAGGAGACCATATAGGGTTCATAGAACTTAGTAGTGGATCAGTGCCATATTGTTGACTTCATAAGCCACATTAGTAAATGTAGAGCAATGAAGTTTTATGAATGGCCATTTCATAGAAGTAAAAAACCCCACAATTAGAAACGTCTTTAAAACCGAATAACACCATTTTTGTCGAGCATAAATTTGAAAGATTACATGCGTTTCTACTGAATGAGCACAATAATGCATATTTTTATGAATAACATCTATGAAACATGATTAAATGTTTATGCACATCGACACTAAATGAAAAAATTGCATGGCGAACAAGCAGCCCCTTTAGCAGAGTACAGTTTCTCCATGCAGATGATAAGACGCTCGTTCCGAAGCCGTCATCCTGAGATAACTAAAGTATTATAGACCTGCGCTGGACAATGATTAGTTCTACAACCCCACATAAATAATCTTTTCTAAACGAAAACGCATTTCTGAATTCCGTTTGACATTTCACGAGTTAGTCCACCTACAGTATCACTTCTTGGCAGCGCCAGTAGGAAGTCCTGTAACCGTGACTCGGGATGCGAGAGGGACGAACGCAGTGGACTAAAACCGAGCAAAAAACAACTGTCAAAATAACAAGCGACGCATTGCGTGAATACAGCCTTGGCTACGATGATGACACACTGTTAGATATCACGGTTGACACCTAGCAGCATCGGCAAGCCGGAAGAGCAGGAAAACCTACGTCGTCGTTAATTGCATCTTTACGCGTAGGATGTTATAACGGCCTTAGCAGTATTTGTTATTGTCAGCGCATTTTAAACCACTATTTAGGTTTGTTTTCACAGATTTCATTAACCGAGTCTCCAGCAGAATAATACAGAAACCATACTCACGGCCACGGATCAGAGGATAAAACACTCCTTTTTTGACGTCTTTTAATAAAGACACTCTGGAGTCCTATCAAGGCTTGAGGTAAGATTTTTTGGCAGCGAAAATACGGACTAAAAAGGGCTAAAAAGGAGAAAAAAATAACTCTTAAATTAAAACGTGACGCATTTCGTGAATATTTTATTAGCTACGATGAAGACGCCTCGTTGAATATCAGGGTTAACGCCTAAGATCATCGGCAGGCCGGAGGAGCATTTGTTAACTCCAATTAGGAAAATCTACGTCGTCGTTAATTTTATTTTTAGACGTAGAATGTTATAACGGTGTTAACAGTTTTGTTAATGCCAGCATATTTAAACGTACTTTTTAGATGTGTTTCAACAGATTTCAGCGTACTGCAAGGCAGGGGAATTCATGTGATAACACATTGACATGCGGGTGAGGGTAGAGAAACCTCCTACTATGTGAATGCAATTTGGCAGCTTACGATGCAGACATAATCGTGAGTTTCGTGGATGTGAGAAGTGAAAAATGACTCGTCAATTAAAATTCCACTTGCCACTGCACAGTAGCCTGCCTAATCTGGATTGCAAGTCAAGTGCAGTAATCGTTCGCTAGCTCCTTCTCTGACTTTCACGGCTTCACTCTATCGCGGATCGTCAATCCACGCATGCCTAGATACAGATCGTGACCGCCCTCATGAAATTTTGGCCAAAATTCTGCAATGCCTGCACGATTTAATATACTTACAACAGTGAAACTGCGTTATTTATTAGCATGCCACATAGTCCTGTAGTATTTCGTGCTTGTCAGGGTGTCGGCTTTTAAATACACATCTTTACGGCTTCCTGCAGCAAATGCACACGGTAACAATGACTACTGAATTAGCACTCACCTTTCACATTACTTTTCGATGGTCATATAAATTCACATATACGTTTTGTAGAACATGCACCAACATATGCCCTCTTCTACGTGTTTAATGGAAAATCACAATGTCGTAACATTTTATACCAGGGAAAAATGTTTTTAAGTTCCTGAATAATTTTGAGCCTGATCAGCGTTGGCATTTAGTGAATTCACACTAAAAGGTTTATACTTCCGAGTAAAGAACATCACATATTCCTCTATGCCTCTAAGAAGATATTTATGAATTTCTAAAATGTTGTAATGGATGCGGACTATGTTGGGCATTTCATGAGGAGCATTGATAAACGGACATATGCGATGTTGTGTGTATTGGCATCGCAGATCTAAAAAATCCCACACTAAGAAGCTGTTACAAAACGTAAATATACACTATCCTCGGGTATGATATTTTGGGACAATGCGATTTTCTACAAAACGGGTAAAAGAAACCGTATTCTTATGCATATTTTCTATAAAACATGTTTGACTTTTTAAGACCATCGAAAATCAATGTAAAAATGGCATGCCAATTCAGTATTCATTTTTTATGAATGTGGTTTCTGTAGTAGGACGAAAAGAAATGCATCGAAAAACCGACATCCTGGCGAGCACGAAATACTACAGGATTATGCTGCATGCTAATCAGTGTTACAGCTCCACCTTAGTACTCCCTCCAAATCGAAAGGGCATTTCTAAATTTCGGCCAACATTTCGTGACATCGCTCACACACTGTATATAACGCGGAATGTAAGTTGGTTCGCGTTTCTGTTATGTGTTTCCTCGGGTGTTTTGGCAAGATATTTTTCTGAACATTAAGTCGACGATTGTAGTTTTTCAAATATGTACTATTGCATTGCATTTATAACTGTACTGTGTAATAAATAAAACTACTTGAAGATATACACACATATAGCTGTGAGTAGTAGATACAAGGTATGAACAACTACATAATTTCAATGAATGTTATCTAGTATCTACGCGACTGTAAGGGGTTTATGCTGTATAACCGTGTAAAAAGTGTTTGAAGGGTGCACGATGGTGTATAAGGGTGTAAAGTATGTAAAAATCGCCACAAAACGCACGATATTTAATTGGCGGACTTTCGCTTTTCGCAGGAGTCTTGGAAAGCAATCGCCGCGATCCAGCAAGGGTCATTAAATTAATTTAGCGCTCCCGGTGAATTAGGGAACATGCACAGAATTTATAAATCAGCTTTAAATTGGCATGTACACAAAACGTTTAAATTTGCGCTAATTCCGCTCCAGACCTACGATCAATAATCATGCGTGATGCAGCCCCTTTCTCGTTGCTCGTACTGTGGCCTCCACGAGGGCATTAGCATGATGTCAGCGCAATTTCACACCATCACATGCACGCTATCACGACCACCGCCGGTGGGGTGTTCATGGTCAAGGAATTTCCGTTGTCCTATTATTGGTGCGCATGAGGCGATGCAAAACAACCGTAAAAACAATGCGCTCCGCATATGGTAGAAGACGGCCTTGCCTACACCAGGCACACTTTCCACTAGTGCTCCTCTCACGGCAGTATAAATAGATCTGCTAAAAGCAGAAGGACCATATATTTCCGTCTACCCAACGGTTTTAATTTCGTGCCGACTGACATTTTAGTTTGAGCAACATCCAATGTTTCTTCTGCCATCATTGACTGCTCTGGTCTTTTTAAATTTCCGACCCTGCAACTGCCGTAAGTTAAGAAATTCAAACATTACCTTCACACGCTTTAAGAGGGACGTCTTCTAGCTGTTCAGCAAGACACCAACATCGACTATCTTTTCGCGATTGATTCTTCCTATGTGGTATGTGATTTAATAACTGCTAACTAATTTGAAACCTCTAAAATAAAACATGTTTACACAATTTCTTTCTCGTAGTTTCATTCGTCGACTTCCGGATTTGTGCAGGGAACGGCACAACGTCCATGTCAACCTCCGACTAATTGTGTAGAATTTTACCCAGGTGTGTTGCTGAACCTCTTTTATTGTTCTTCTTCATTTCAACGTTCTCGAATGTCGACATCATAACGCCATCCTAGACAGGTACTATATAATTCAAAGTGAACAAGATATATCTTTGAATGTAGACTAGGAGTGGAATGTAAATTAGATCGCAATAAGACCACTTACAACTATAGTATTTGCACATAATAATAATTTGTAATCGTTTCTCAAGCCACAAGCCTGTAACCTAGTCAGCCCAATTATACTTTCGTTTGTGACCTTTTATTGACTTCTCCATTAAAGAAAAGAGGAGTTTTATGATCAAGGCCGACAGTCACGCAAACTACTCTGCGGTAATTCTCACGCCCGAAGCATCTGACCGAGCTCCAATCGCAATCGTCATAGTGAATGAGGGTGAATTTATTCCAGGTATGTTTTAAATAATACTGCACTTGCCAAAACCTTGAAAGTTAGAACTTGTCTCTAAAAACAAGCTCCATAAATCTGTTCGTTAATCAAGGAAATTAAAACCTATTAACTTATCTCCCTGTTACATTCGTAGACCTTCGTGGCGTCCAGTTCATAAAACCTGTTATCTTCAAATCGTTCAATGAGAATTCATTTGGCGTGATCTTGGATGAAAATGTAAAGGTAATGGAAGAACAAATAAATTTCATATTTATCTAACTGATTTGAAACAATGCGTTTTAACTTAGTCAGTCTGCGGTTCGAAAATTCACTGCCCCAGAAGATTTTAACTTAAGCAGTTTTGATTGTTTTCAGGAATTTAAACTCATGGGAAACATCAGCAAATATGGCTCGCCTTCAACTGGGACAGGCCTGGAAATAGTTATTCCGAATGGTAAATTACTTTCCACTTAATTGGACAAAGAAGCGCCAAAAGTATTTACCTCCAGTTTACATTTTTAGAACGAGTTAACGGTGGACAGTACAAAATCATGAGAGTTACAGGACGTATGGCGACGCAACGTCTATCATTCTCCTTGACAGACAATGCTGGAAACTCACCTACGTACGATTTCACACCTAGCAGCAATGCACCCATTTTGATGATGCAAACACATTTACTTCAGTGGCCGAAGACATCCAAAGCATCAGGAGCGTTGGAACATGCAAAATGGAGCGCCTTGCTCATAAGCGTGACTGTCCTGTATACACTTTAAAAGGCAAGCAAAACATAGGCCAGTCGAGAACAGTGTTAAGCATTCCTTATATTTTGTCATTAAAATCTGTATTTGAATAGTGTTCGTTCTTTCAGTCTTCAAAGGGTTTGTTGAATAGTTTTTTAGGTTATCGTATGTCAGTTTGATAGTGGACAATTGACAGAACGCCAAAATGTGGAAAGGATATTAAGCGAAAATTGTTCAGTCTTAAGAAGTGATAGAACTCACAGCGCCAAAATAATTACGGTGCAGTTACGCCTTCGAGGGAAAAGAAGAAGAGGCCAGCATAAGGTGTGCGTTCTACACAAAACCTCAGCCTGAACGCGTATCTGTTTGTGAATGAAAAAGCGTCACATGAAAAGCAGTCAGTGTCCGCTTGCTCGGCTGATAGTGGAGTTTGTGGGCGCCTGCGAGTAACCATCAGCGGGACTGCCATTTTTCTTGTTTTGTGGCCGGGCGCCGTGATCATGTAATTCCTGGTGTGGGCACCAGAGATGAAAGGTTTATTGCCGAGAGAGGTGTTGCAGAATGGCCTTCGACAAAGACCTATTGCGAAAGAAGTAGTTTCCCTAGACTAATAAACAATAAATGCGATTATGCACACAGAATACGTCCAGACTTGACTGGGTATAATGGGCGCTGGACTTATGGATGACGCCTCCAGAAGTGAGCTTCAACTCCGACAGCAGATTTCCGCTGGCAATACATTTAAATGCCTTTCCGCCAGATGATTCAGCGTCGAATTACAGCAATTCAGACGACAGGTCAGCAGATTTATACTCTCCCTTCGAGGTGGAATAGTCAACCTCGAGCTGAACTAAAAGTAGATGCTTGGTCTAACTGACGAAATTGTGGAAAAGTCAGCAACCTCGATGTGATATGGATCCACTTTAAGAGGGTCAACGCTGTGTTCTGATAAACGCTTTTACAACCTCAGCAATGATGCCTCCAATGGAATGGAAGGAATTCCGCAAACGATGGGAAGGAGACGCTCACTGAACAAAAATTGACAAGGGTTTAGTCAAGGATTGAAAAGAATAGGGCGAATTGACTCGGAATGTAGTGGGACCTGGAGGTTATTCTAGGTTTATGAGATAGTAATGTAAATGTACCTTGTTTGGATTCCGACTACTGAGGCGCTGGTCAAATGCAAACATTTTCTTCAGGTTAAACTTCTAAGAGTTTATGCCAGCAAATCTGAAATTTTGATGGTTTTGCGAATACAAGGACCGAAACGCAGACAACTCGTCCGGCTTGAGGGAAATATAGATTGGTAGTTTTCAAGTTGTGTGACCAAGAGTATGAAATGGCCGTTTAAAATATGCAGGTTTATTATGGCCTTGGTGTGCGAGGAGACGGTGAAGAACTACTGGGGATATATATAGCTTTCGGACGCAAGCTATGTAAACAATCGCATTGCTATATCCGCATGTTAGCACGCGTAATGCTAGCATGTCCTGATTCCCACAGTGGACGCGACCGGTCCACTGCACCGTTAGACGGCGTGAAACCACCAACGCCATAACCAGTCTCCGTGATTTCGTTCCTCTTTCAAAATGTGTTCAAAGCCTCAGCGTAATACCACGGCAGTTCGAGGGATCACAAGTCCTTATGCCTTGAATACGGAACCCAAGTTTCGCAAACTTATCTCCGTTTATGTCTGATGCTTGTTTGTGTGTGCTCAGGTACTTATTGGCATTTCCAGATTCCGGTGGTTTACCGGCTTGTCCTAGTCCGAATGAACAAAATGTTGGCTGAAACAGTGAGAGGTTAGTCATTCCGCCCATTTACCAGTACCATCCTTGAATCCTCTGATGTTATTACTAAATAAATTGCCTCTCAACTCCTCGCAATGCATCAAACGAGACAAGTTTTTTATAGCTATTGGGTAGATATATGAAAAACGCCTGCGACCTAGCTTATTTGTGCATATGATTTAATGAAAGCGTTTAACTCCATGATCCACTTTGGATAAGACCAGATACAGTAGAATTACAGAGAAACATTTTTTAAGGCGCAAAAAATGCAAAATTCGGCGTTCGATGTGTTTCAATAGAAAACACGGCCATGCAATGGAAAGGCATTGTGGCATTGTCTTTTATATTTTCAGCAGTTGTAAATATAAAACATCAGGTTATGTCCGCCAGCCAAATAAGAAAACACATCAATCACAAGGACGTGGTTTGTGTTTGAACTATTGGTGAACGTTATGTCTTTGTTCACAAGCGTGCGGTGAGTGTTTTCTTTACTCCTTCGTAGAGGATTACATTTTATACTTAAGGAAAGTGTTGATTTAGGTTTTTTAAAAGTTTTACATTGTGGGATTATTTTAATCCGTTCGACGTCCATTCATACAGCATCGTATTTGTCCATTTTTGAATGCTTATCAAGAAAAACCCAGCACTGTTCTCATCCATTATGTATTTTATGAACGCTCTGTGGCATAATCTTAAAGGCATAAGGAAATATAGGCATCCCTTTATGCGAAAAAAAATGTACCTTGCCTTGAAGTCGGTAAATGCCAATACAGCGGCTGATAGTGCTCAAAATTATCCGGTAATAAGAAAACTTGCTCAAAAGCTAAATATACCCTTTCTTCGGCTACACGCTGTGAGACCAACATCATTCTCCCTCAAATGAGTGAAGGAAAGCATGTTAAATTGCGTTCTTCTTATAAAACATTTAAATTTATATGACTTCCTAAAATCAATGTAAACCTGCATGCAAATTAACTAGTCATATTTTATCGAGTGCTGTTTCCATAGGAGTTTGAAAAAAGCGCATTCAAAACCGGACACTCTAGCAAGTCTGAAACACTGTAGGATTATGCTGCATGGTTATTTATTTTACAACTCCATCCAAGTGAGCCTTTTTTACCGTACTCTAAAACAAAAAAGCCCTTTGTCACTGTATGGAATTACGGCTAGTAAGTTTCTGAAACCGACGGATGCACAGTTTTCTTCGATGATTTTTAAATTGGACCCACTATATCCATCACATCTGTGCGCCACTTATTCTGCAGGGGTACAGCTAATCGTCCTAATTCGGACATCTATATTTCAATTATTGACCTGTTGCCTCGGTGAGCTAATAGGTCCTTGTCTTATATGCTCGTTTCGACCTGTACTTATGTCCTGCGATGCACAAAATGTCTGTCCTACGATGACAAATCGTCTTAGAATTCAATATACGTCAGCTCGTGGGGCATGTGGTGAAAGTGATTATATTATGCCGGATGAATTATTTATTCGTTAGTAATCAAAACAGCTATATACTAATACACCTCTTGGAAACCTTCGCAAACGTAAGGATCCATTGATCGTTCCACAGAAATTTTTATTTGCACGGACTTGACAAATTTTCGAAATAATATTCCTAGGCCATTAAGCATGATTGACTAGACTATGTGGTCAGAATCCATTCATCCCAACAGCACATGGAATCTTAGGAATAATCTACTTTGGCGCCGAAAACGGGAAGATTACCGGTAGAAACCCCACAAAACTTGGTCCCATTCCGTGCTGAATGTTGCTTTGCGCGGGCGGTTGCTACACGTCAGCTCACTTAGAAGGCTGTCGCAATCTCATGAAAATATCGACCGGTGCCTTTCATCTAAGGCAATAACAAAAATCCCGCTCGGCACGAGGAGGACAATTAAAAACCACCCGCACCCCAGAGACGTAGAGAAAAACACTTTGTAGCATCAAACAAAGTCCTGCTATGCCAAGACACCCACTGATGTCTCATCGTACAGACGTCAGGCTAAAGAGTTATGATTTACGGCTTTTATGCTTTCTTGAAAATGAATCGCTAGCCTGAAGCAACGCAGTCTAAACTAAGCTTCCTTAGCTTGGGCAGAGTGCTTGTGAAGTTTTTAAAGACAGTCAAATGATCAAGCCTACGTCATTGCCTACGTTCTTTTTCACAGTGGCGCTTATCAATTACACAACATTTTCGGTCTTGATTACAAAAATTTCTGAGCTATTTATGACTTCTTCTTAAAAGGACAAAGAAAATCACGTTGGTTTCTTACTCGGAAAATATAGATCATTCAGTTGATTAGCCCTAAACAAAAGTCGATTCTAAAGTTTTGAAAAGTCGAAAATATCATGAGTTCTGCAGATACCCGTTTCAGATATAATCGTTTGGCAAAAAAGTCTAAAAAGACTTGTTTAATGCATAGTTTTATAAAGTTCACCATGGCCTAAAACGGCACCATAAATCAATACGGAGAATTCATATACCAAGCGCGATTTTAGGCAGTGGGTTTGGATAAAGCGCATACGGAATCTGGTAGTTTGAACTGATTACCATATCTTTGGATTATGCCGTACGATAATTAATACTGCAATATCGCGTAAAAATATGTACATTCAGAAACGCGTTGCAGAATCTTAATTAGTATTGTTGACATAGCCCGCATATTGTATGCTAAGATTAAAAATCAAAGGTTCGCCATGTCTGCCGTATTGGATTCAGCGTCAAAATTCATATTCAAAAGAGATCGCTAGTTAAATTGACAGTTAAATCAGCAGTCGGCCTATGAAGCCTGTTCGTATTGAGCGAGTGCGGATTATAGTATTTTTTCTTACACGCAGGGAAACACTTTCCCAACTTATATGTGATTAATTGATAAACGGACAGAATGTTTATTTTGCACTCCTTATAGTTCTCTACTTCTGGAAAGCGAATGAGAAATCCGTGAATATTTTATGTGTGCCCAAGTATTTCAAGGGATAAAAGAGTAATGGAAGTAATCTTATTAAACATATTGACGTCTTCTAAACCATCTGATGTGTCACGGGTTGACAAACTCCAGCATTATTTCATTTTGCAGCATAGCCGACAAAACTTAACGTTAAGGTCTGGCCTTACCTTAATGACAGAATGGGTAATGCCTTTCTTTAATGAAGAATACATTGCTGCGCTTCCATGCAGCGTTCAAATTGGAAACGGGAAAGCGGAAAACGCACGGCTGGTCAATGCATCGGCTGCCCCATCTAGAAGCCGCGTGTCTTGGTAAACCCGGGAAAACCGTGATTTCAAGTGTACCTTCTGTGTAAATACATCTGGCGACAACTGCGACTCGCATGCTGAGCGTTTGACCAGTTATTATGAAAGGGAGAACGAAAGTGCAATTAGCACTTTGGTAACGCTTTTTGGAATTTCGCGAAACGATACTACCAATCATCGGAAGCAAAAATACAAATAAATCGCAAAGCAGGCAAATTCAGTCATTACGAACAGCAGCCAGGATATGACAATTAGAATTTTAGTACACTGTGTACTGATGAGAGGTATTTATATGAAAGCTGTCACTGATGCCTCACTTTTATATTTCATGTCAAACTGATATTTACGACTCAACGGGCACGCACCGAGGTCTTTGAAACAAGATCAACAATCAGAAAGGCTGCATCTTGTGAAATATCAGAGATATTTCTGAGGAATTGGAAGACGTCACGCGCAAACGGGACCCCATCTGTCCGATCTCGCAAGTAGCCAGTCAGGTGCAGTTCGTCTCCTGAAAACTCGCATCATAATTAGAATAACTCACGAAAGTACGCTTGTCAACTTAATGGACAGAGTTGGCACTCGAAGCTCCTATTCCTATATTTTTCGGCGGAACCTACAGCATTGGTTATATCTTGAATCAATCAAAACATTTCCAAAGATTAACTGAGCTGTAAAACCGAAAATATTTCCCAAAATCTCCGTGCAATATCCGTTAAAACGTAAAAAATGTAAGTTATGCAAGAGGCTGGGTGCGCGCATGACGCTTCCTGCATAATGTGTCCCGGCAACTAAGTGCAAAGTAGGTGGATACAGTAGGTGGGCTAACACATGAAATGTCAACCGAAATTTCGAAATGCGTTCTCGTTTCGAAAAGATTAATTAATTAGAGTTGTGAAACTAATCATCATACAGCATAATTGTACAAAGAGCCAGTTACCTCAGGGTGCCGGCTTTTGAATGAAATTATTTTCGACGGCGTCCAAAATTACACTCTGCAAAAAATGACTTCTTAGGCAGCATGCAATTTTCTTATAGATTTTCGAAACTCATAAAAATTCAATGATATTTCATGAAAAACATGCTTGAAAATAACCATTCGTCTACGTATTTGGTAAAAAACCACGTCTTCTTTCAAGTTAATACCCAAAGGATGAGTATACTTTTGTTTTTGAAAAGAATTTCTCATTGCGGAATAATCCTGTACCCGAATTGCTCTTATACTTGTATACAGGGTTTCCAAACTACAAGCCATATATTTTCCGTGTACAGAAAAACATACATTTCTTTACGGTATTAAGAGGAGACCATATGGGGTTAATTTAAATTAAATGGTGGATTTGAGCAATCTTGTGACCTTTACAAGCCACATGGCTAAATTCAGATACATGACGTTTTATGAAAGGGCATTTCGCGGTATTAAAAAATGTCATTATTAGAACCTGTTTTAAGACCGAATTATACTACCCCTTCGAGTGTAAAATTGAAAGAAGTCGTAGTTTTCTCCCGAATAAGTGGACGAATGAGTATTTTCACGCATGTTTTTCATGATATATAATTGAATTTTTACGGGTGTGGAGAATCAATAAGAAAATTGAATGCTGCTTAAGCAGTCATTTTTCGGAATGTAGTTCTTGCACGCAGTTGGAAAGTTCATTCGAAAGCCGGCACCCTGATGTAACTGGCTTATTATACAGTTATCCTGTATGATTGTTAGTTTCACAACACTGCTTAACTTATCTTTTCGAAACGAGAACACATTTTGAAATTTCGATTGACATTTCATGATGTAGCTCACTTACTGTATGTCTAAGACCAATAAAATCGGAGGTGTTTTTGCCAAGAAATATTTGCGATGACCGACAAATGTATGTTAAAGTGGTATGCATTATCGGCCGACCAGTTTGGAATTTTTATATTGAAAATATGCGGTGATTTCTTGCACCAAATATAGGTAAATCTGCATTTTAAATTAATTTAATTTACCGATGTATAATAATTCTCCGTGTAATGTTAGTGCGAAGTACTTCGTGCTCGGACGGGGATACGTTTCATTGGACAGATAGTCTTAACTACCCTCCCAATGCGTGTTCTGTAGTGAAACCAACTAATGGGCGTAAGCATATGTTCTTTCCCAATACTAAACTTAACCCATAGGCAAGAGTCCACAGTCAGTTTACAGTCCATCCATTTCGGATAAGTAAAACCCAGGGGCAACAGTTAACTGTCAACAAGTTCGCACTGCTGCCAGCACCGATAGAAAAGTTGGTTATGTCAAATTAGTCAACAGTTTTTTCCTACCATCTGCCTATTGGCGGCTTGGTAATAATACGTGGTCATTTTGGTGAAAATATTAACACTGCCTTCCCGAACGACCTTGATAGTGTCTGGTGTCTGGTGTGCGGCACTTCGCGTCTCCTTGCCCTCCGCTGCTTGTCACGCTGCCCACCTGTCCACCTCATACTCCCTGTCGATCGACGCCAATCAGCACTGTCTCTACTCTGATTGGCTGGCGGAGGGCAAGGAGACGTGAACTGCCACAAGTCAAACATATCGATTTCTGAGCAAAATACGGAACATGACGATCCATTACCGTTTGACATATTCAAGTACGCACGCAGGGGTGTGACTGCCTATGCATGTCCAGTCCAATTCAGCTCGGGTCATTTATGCGTAGTGCAGGTCTGCACCTTTGAATTTATAGCATGTCAAAAATTGGAAAAGTTGTCACAAAAAGGTAACAAATAATCGGACAAGCGTCAGTTCGGTACAGATAGACGGACTGTTTCAAGTGTTAGTGGTGCGAGCAGTAGAACAGTAGTTGTTTGGAGTGCAGTGGAAGAAAGGTATCCCAAGTGACAATGAATGCATGGGTAAATGTCAGTAAGCGCAGGCGCTGGATTGGAGACAATAATAAATTTCACTAAATATGTTACCGAAATATAGAAAGTAGTATAGAAACGATGGGGTTTTCGCTTTTGCCAAGGTTACAGAGGTTGGGTGGTATTATAGTGGACACCGCTATACAAATCCAGCTTCATCTTAAAGACCTCGAGAAAAGCTGACATAACGAAATCCAGAAGCAGGGTATTCTAAGCTTCGAGCACTCCGGTGGAGAAGATGAACTTTCGTGTGCCTAGCCCGGCCCCGATCACGTGTAGTTTGGATGGATGACCTATTAGGTTCGTGGTTGTTGCTAACTCGAGAAAGTCCCCCAGTACAAGGCTGCAGTACTGTTCGCGTATGATACGAATTGATTGTATCAGGTCATCCCGTAACTGCCTGTAACACGAGGGACAGAGATCAAGATTAGGTAACTGTGTTTCATAGGGTAGTGAACCCTGTCATGCCACAAGATTCGTTCCACGACTTTGAGCCCGTCCAAGGACGCTGAGTTCTCTAAGCTTGAATAGCAAACACGGATTGCGGCAGAACAAACGTTCGAAAGACTTTAGCTAACCAGTCTTCGCCAAGGGCAGAGAAAGGCCGCTTGACAAGACAGACAACTGACATTGCAGAGTTGGCTGCCTTCGTGCACTGCAGCGAGGGTTTGAGCGAGATCGTAATCCATATTCCCAGGTCCTGCGAGTCCACTTCTTGCAGTGACATATCATTTAGACAGAAAGCCATTGGACTCAGAGAGCTGGTTCTGCCGACTTGAAAAATATTGCAGCTGTTCTCACTGGACGGTACTATTGGAGTCGGTTAGGTTTGCCTGCAAATGCTCTTCGTCATCTGCAGGTCGAATGACGCTACAAAGCTTAATATCATCCGCGAACATGGCGAAACGACAATCCAGTTCACAAACGCGTCCACTGACATAAACAATGAACAGAGTCGGATAAAGTACTGAGTTTTGGGAACGCCGCTTTCAACGGCAACCTCAGCCGACTGCTGGTCACCAACATCAACAGATTGAGAACGGTCAAATTGGAAGCTTTGGAAGCATTTTAAGAAATTACCCTTAACGTCTGTTTAGTTTAGTTAATGCAGGAGTCACTGATGTGACACACTATCAAATGCCTTTTTAAAGTCAATATAGATTGCTTACAGCGTATTGTCTTCATCAAATGACCGAGTTCAGCGTTCCAAACAGTTGAGCAAGTTAGTCGCGCAGGACCGGCCGCTACGGAACCCATGACCCTAGTCCACCGCCTAATTTTTACTTAAAACCATAGAGAAATTATGGTTATTCGTATGCCGAAAATATACAGTGAATGGAGTGTAACGGCAGGCCGCGTTCACATTTATTTGGAAGTTGGAAAAGTTTTTAAAACGAAATTATTCCCTTCACTCAAGAGTAAAATTTGAAGAAGACGTGACTTCCACCAAATGAGTAAAAAATGAATGTTTTTATACACGTTTTCCACGAAATATAATCGAACTTTTAAAGGGCAATGAAAATCAATGACAACAAATCATGCGACTTAAGTAGCCTTTTTAACGGACTGTGGTTTTTGCATGTGGCCGGAAAGAAGTTAGCTCAAAAGCCGGAATCTCGGGGTGTCTGATCTATTATAGAAGTATACTGTACGATAATCGATTTCAAAACGCTGCTCGAATAATCTTTTTGGAAATAAAAAGACATTTCATGAGTTAGCACACCTACCGAATGTTCTCAGTAGTCCTTCCCCGTCTCGTTGCCTATCGGTGCCATAATCAACCTGTTCGCGAAGTCAAATTCTTTACCCTACGTTAGTGTGTGGATAGCGTGTTGACACATCGGGTCGTTGTCTGAACGGCCAGTAAACGCTTCAGTATTGTTGAACTGTAAGGCCTAAGGGTCCGTAAGCGTCTGTTACGCCAGGATCAGCAAGCCATGAACCCCGTAGTCTGTTATGTGGTGGCCGTTCTCTGACATCTGGTTCCCTGCCGTTAGACGTGTTTGCGCTCCGCTGGATACACAGGTCGTGAGCATGGCTGCCTGGTCATCCTCCCTCTTCTGACCCGTCGGTGTGCTGTAGTTGTTGATTAAAATCCTGGCCAATTGTTGTGTGGACCAGGGATGTTGAGTGGAGCGCAAAGGTGGGGGGCTCGGCCGCGCCATTCACATGAGCCCTGTACGCCTCCGGTCTTATTGACCCTGTCATGACACCGGGCTCAGCTGGAGGAGGAGGATAATGGCAGAGTGAGGTAGATGCTGCGCAAGTCTACGCCCACTATGAACTGATTCACGCTCTTCATATTGCTGTGAGGCACCTTGTGGTCGTCGTTGCGTACGACGGTCGACGGTCGTGTAAGAACAGTCATGGCTCCGGTATGCGTATCCCGATGGCTACATCGGGATACAGCAGGCATTATTTTGAATGCATGCTTATAACAAATGCCAACTATTGTAGGTGTGGCTGCATGCACGGGCGCAGAGCCACGCCGCGCCTCTTGGTTTGGCACGCTCCCCCCCCTTTTCCTGCTGTGTAAAACTCTGGTCAGTGTACGCTGTGAACCAAGGAGTGTGGCCGAACGCATAGATGCGGATTTTCGCAGTGTCAGTCAACTTCACCCCTCACGCCTCTGGTCTTTATGACTGTCTTGACACAAGGCCCAGTTGTGGGATGAGAAGGAGGAGCGAGTGATTTGGATGTTGCGTAAGCCCATTATCCCTAAAAAAGAAATCACACTCAAGTTACCGTCCCTGCTCCCATCCCGCTGAGGAGCCCATAGTGTCATGAGGCCGAAACCACGGATTAATAGTATTTTTGTCTCGCTGGTTTTCTTCCTAATAACCACTGAGACTACAATGACAAATGCATATGAAAAGCCCTACTTTTTGACATTCGTCTCAAAGGAAGTAGTGCAGAACATGTATAGCTTGCCAAAACTGACGGTCATTAGAGGCATTATATGTGAACTACGAAAACTCAAACTTTCATTTTTCCCCAGTACCAAGGCAAAAATAAAAATCCGCTTCAATCAGATAATACGAGGTAGGCCTTTATAACGAGGACAACTTTCATCAACTTGACATGCGGACGAAATGAGCGAGATTGCTCAGTACATTTAAAAATGGTGGTGGTGGTGGTGGTGGTGGTGGTGGTGGTGGTGGTGGTGGTGGTGGTGGTGGTGGTGGTGGTGGTGGTGGTGGTGGTGGTGGAGACACTGACGTGTCTTTCAGTGGTCACAGACTGTCCACCAACCGTCCACATTGCCCAGGTATTCCAACCCCGGGACTTGAAACCATACACCGACACCCGCGGGGAGGCCAACCTACACATCGGAGGTGATGAGGTGCCTATGCCATCTCAACTAAGGGAGCGCAGCTTGCTTTTCGTGGCCTCCGTCACATTTCAGCCTTACTTACAGTATATCAAAATTGAATGCATGCTTAGTAGACTATCGTGAGAGAATAGGTCCTATTTGTCAGATAAACTGTCTTGGTTATCCCTAAATGACTTTAAAAGAGCAGTAACAAGACCCAGGATAAATACATTGTGGAATAAATGAAAGTAAGTGATTCGGTTCCACTCATTATTGAAACGTTGGACTCGTTTATCGCTTGTATAATCTCTTCTTGATTTCCGCTCCAATCGAGACGCCACACTTCAGGTGGTTTGAGCGCCTTACCTCTTCAAATGTGGATTAAAATTACGCAGAGGTTGCCGACTTTCCGCGGTTTCGTCAGTAAGAGTAAGCATCAACTTTCAGCTAGACACCAGGTCGAGTGTTCCAACCCGAAGAGGGACTATGTCGCGGCTGACTTATCCGCCAGACTGCTGTACTTCGAGGCTCAATCATCTGACAGGAAGACATTTAAGTGTTTTTGCAGCAGGAATCTGTGCTTAAGGTTTCGTAAAGGGGGCGTCACTCACAAGCTCCCTGCCCTTTATACCCAGTCACGTCTGAAGGTATTCTGTTCGCATGGTCGCACGTGTTGTTTGTTAGTCTAGGGAGACTACTTATTTCGCAGTAAGTCTTCACCCTAGGAATCACGTGATAATGGCGCCGGAATGCCAAAACATGCGAGCATTCAGCCCCGAAGGATGGTCAATTACAGGCACCCACAAACTCCATTCAACTGACTATTTGTCACGTGACGCTTTTTAACTCACGCCCACACACCATCCTAACGAACAGACGCGCACGCAAGCACGAAACAGGCCGCGCGTAATGGCTGAGCTTCCGTGCAGAATACACAACATCTACTGGTGTCTTTCTCCCTTCTCCTCGCAGGTAGAACTGAGACTTCTTCAAGAACTGAGACTCCATTATTTGGCGCTGTGAGTTCCCTCACTTCTTTATACTCCGCACATTTCATCTAGTATTCCTTTCACATTTTGACGCTGTAGCAAGTTTCCTCTAATAAACCGATGATGAAATAACCTTAAACCCTATTCGACAAACTCTGCGAAGATTGAAATGACGAACTTTATTTAAATACGGATGAGATGAAAAGTGTTCAACTGCTTTCCTAACGGACTGATGTTCTTAATTGCCGATCAAAACGCATACAAGACAGTAAGGCCTATGAGAAAGGCACTGCATTTTGCGTTGTGCAATGCGCCTGATGTTGTAGATACCTTCGGCCACTGAAGTAGACGTGTTGGAAGCATTAAAGTAGGTGCACCGTCGATTGGTGCAAAATCGTGAGTAGCTGAATTTCCAGCATTGTCCGTCAGGGTGAATGATAGATACTCCTTCGTCACACGCCCTGTCACTCGCATGATTTTATACTGTATACCTTTGACTCGTTCTAAAAATGTAAACGGGAGGTAAATATTGTTGGCGCTTCTTGGTCCACTTTAAGTGAAAAGTAACTTACCATTTGGAATAACTATTTCCATGCCTGTATCAGTTGAATCCGACCCATATTTGCTAATGTTTCCCAAGAGCCTGAAATCCTAAAAACATCCAAAAACGCTTATGGAAAAATTTCGCACGACACAGAAAATCCAAATTGTATTTTGGCTAATTTAAAACGTACATTTTAAAGCCAACCAAGCAGAAAATCTTTTTGTTCCACGTTAGACTCATTTATCGTTTGTGTAATCTATCGTTGATTTTTCAGTTTATATCTGGCGAGGGAAATTAATCAGGAAACATTTTTGTGTGTAGGGAAGTTCGGTTTGTGGCGAACCGTTGATTGAATCCCGAGCGAGCTGAGGCAAACAGGCCAAACAGGGCGACGTCTCAGCTCACGAACGAACGAACTGTTCGGAAAGGTGACCCACTATCTCAAGTCACCACTCACACGCTGGAGGAAGACCATGGGTTCGACTTCGCCAACACGCGGATATTGGTGCGAGCGGGCAACAAGACGGGGCGAGAACCGTTGGAGGTGTGGGTGTCGGACACCAGCTCTATCAATAGCCACATTGATTTGCCTGCGTGTTATCACGCGCTCCGCCCACGCAGTCAGGTGGCGCGGCCCATATCGCCGTGAAGGCCAAACGCCGTCAATATGTTGGGGGGGGGGGATAATTGTGGGCCATGCAGCACAGACCAGACCTAGCCACGGACATAATCTCCCCCCCTCACGGCACAACAGTATAAATGTTTACACGTTGCTGCACTCTAACAGTCTTTGATGATGAACTTCTGTTCGAGTTCGATAGCTATAACCAATAAAGCCACCGTCCTAGTGATCGTGTTTTCGTCTTCTCTTGAACTGGTATCTCACCCGTTTTCCTCAAAGGTGGAACTGAGTCGCGATTATTGAGGCGCTGTGAGTTCTCCCACCTCTTTAGACGCCCCACTTTTTTACATTATGATGTTGTTTCAAGTTTCCGCTAACAAAATGACACGAAATATCCTAGAAAACTATTCAACAAACTCTGTAAAGGCTGAAAGAACGAACACGATCCAAATACAAATTTTAATGATAAAAGATGAAGAGGTTCATCTGTGTTCTCCAATGGCCCATGTTTGGCTTGCTGATCAAAACGCATTCCAGGCAGTTAGGCCTATGAGTAAGGCACTCCATCTTGCGTTGTACAATGCGCCTGATGTTTTCGATATCTTCGGCCACTGAAGCAAACGTGTCGGGAGCATCAAGATTGGTGCAGAATTGCTCGGTGTAAAACTGTAAGTAGCTGTCTTTCCAGCATTGTCCGTCAAGGTGAATGAGATATACGTCGTCTTCATACGTCCTGTCACCCGCATGATTTTGTATTGTTCACCGCCGACTCGTTCTTAAAATGAAAACTGTAGGTAAATATTTTTTGTCATTTCCAAGGGACTTTACAGAGGAAATTAACTTACCATATGGAATAACAATTTCCATTTCTGTGCCAGTTGAAACCGGCCCATATTTGCTAATGTTTCCCAAGATCCTGAACTCCTAAAAACAACCAGCATTGCCAAATTGTAATTCTGTGCGGCAGTGAAAATTCCACACATATGTCGGCTAAGTTAGAACGCATATTTTAAGGCCAGTTAGACGAACGCGAAATTTATTTGTTCTTCCATTACCTTTATATCTTCGTCCAAGATCACGGCAAACGAATTGTCATGGAACGGTCTGTAGATAACGGGTTTTATGAACTGAACGCCACCAAGACCTGCGAATTTGAACGTGAAGAAATTTTTTAAATTTTCATTAAAAATACTAACATACAATTTTCTGAAGCTTATTTTTAAAGACTAATTCATTATGTCAGCGTCTTTGCAGATGAAATGTGATGTAAAACGTACGTGGAAAGAATTCTCCCTCATTTACAACGACGATGGCGATTTGGGCTTTGTCAGATGATTCGGGTGTGACGATTACCGCAGAGTAGTTTGCGTGGTTGCCACCTTGGATCATAAAACTCCTCTTTTCTTTAATAAAAAAAACTCACTCTGATGACTTGGGCATTGGGTCTCAAAAAAACTTCATCTGGTCTAGTTAAGTCGTTTGTTTGAGGCTTTTAAAACGTATTCCACATAACTACGCTGGGTAACCTTTTCTCTGGTCAGAAAGCTCCCTCCTAATTTGCTGCAGTGGTCTGATTGCGATCTACTTTGGCCTTCACTCTATCTCTAATTACATATGAAGATAGATCCCGCCAACTGTAATTCAGATAGTACCTCTTGCAGACAGCATTTTGCCGTCGATATTTAAATATGCAGAAATGAAGAAGAGCATTTTTACGGGCTGAATGATTCACCTGGATAAAATTCTACACAGCTGGTTGGAGGTTGACATGGACGTTGTGGTGTTCCCTGCACAAATCCTGACTTTGAAGATTCAAACTATTTGAGCGAAAACAAATAAATGCATTTCTTTTCAGGGGTTTGAAAATACTTATCAGTCATTCACTCACGTACCACAAAGGAGGCGTCCACTGCGAAAAGATAGTCGATGGTGGTATTTTCTTGGACAGCTAAAAGGCGATCCTCTAAAAACAGGTAAACCTAATAAGGAATTTTATAACTTACGGCAACTGCAGGGTCGAACATTTAAAAAGGCCAGAGCAGTCAATAATGGCAGAAGAAACATTGAATGATGCTCAAACTAAACTGACAATCCGCGTGAAATGAGTCCGTTAACTAGACAGCAATATATGTTTCTTCTTCTTTTAGCAAATCTATTTATGCTGAAGGGAGAGGAGCGCCACTGCGCATAGGCTCACGTGCAGGAAAATGTTTTTACTGTAGAAAACGCTGTTTTGACGATATGTGTCAGACACATTTTGACGATTGTTTTGCTAGCTTTTGGGCGTCCCCACATGTCGGTCTCGCCTCATGCAAACAGACATTGGTCCAAAACACCCCCGGGGAAGTTGGGGCGATTGCGCGTGTGCAATGGTATGAAATTGCGTTGACATTCTATTGGTCGATTACGCCCTCGTGGGGGCGAGAGTCAGGAAGGCGAGAGAAGGTATGCATGAGGCATGATTATTCATCGCAGGCCTGCAACAGAGTCGAAAAAAAACTGCAGGTTTCATGTATGGCCTTCCTTAAAGCTACTTTGAAAATATTTTGCACTCTTATTTCCACTGGCAGCAGTATACTAAAACAGTGGTTCCTCCTAAAAAACGGAAGTTGCTTTCCAGAATCTCCCCACCCCCGCGCGATAAGTGAAGAGGCTGGCTGCCCTACGTGGTAATGGGTGCGTCAGTGATGCTCGTGGTGACGTTGCTGGTGGTGCGGATGTCTGCGGCGGCTATTGACGTATGAGTTACTGCAGGATCAACACGGTGGATGGATCAAAGTCTGGCAGGAGTTATTCGGAATGCGCACCCATGAAAAAGGCCAACTTTCCCGATATGGCGGCGCTCCCACGCACAGTCCCGCGCCGCGTCAGCTGGGATTCGAACCGCCCGCCCATTTATTTCCCTGTTGGGAAAAATCCTAGTCAGTGTAGTTTACGGACCAGGGCATGCGCTGGTACGCGGGGGAGCGGGTTTCCGTCGGCTGCACCCTGCCCCGCCTCTGGTCTTCCTTACTCTGCCTGATATCGGACCGAGGTGGTGGCGGTGGTTAAAGAGTGCAGGACATGCTGTGCAAGCCCACTATCGCTTTAAACTAAACCACGCACAGATCGCCGTCTCCGCTCTCGCCCTATCGTGCGATTGGCGGTTGGAATCGTTTACTATGACAGTCGAACTGTCATTATTGACGTCAGTGGGGACAGATGTTCAAACAATGGTCATTCTAATCATCATTGCAGATCATAGTTGATCTACTTAGCAACACCTTAGAACCCAATAACACGCATGTAAATTCGGTTAGTGAACACATGTTTTCAGAAACTCATCAGCAGGCCGATACATTTATAGCAGGTGGGCTAATTCGTGTGATGTTAACCGAAATTCTGAAATGCGTTTTCGTTTCGAAAAGGTCCACTAAGTAGGGATGTAAAATTAGTCAGTCTGCAACATAATTCTATATTGTTTCAGTTACTTCCGGATGCCGGCTTTCGAATGGACTTCCTTTGGGGCTGCATGCAAATACTACACTCTGTAAAAGATGACTACTTATATGGCATGAATTTTTCTCGTTGATTTTCGATGCCCCTAAAATTCCAATTATATGTCATAAAAACCATGCATAAAAGTATTCATTCTTTTGCTCATTCGGCAGATAATTACGTCTTCTTCTAATTTCCCACGTGAAGGAAGGGTAAAATTCGGTTTTGAAAAGCTTATAATTGTGAAATTTTTTTAAAACCGTGAAATGGCCGTTCATAAAACGCCATGTCTCTGCATTTACCAATGTGGCTTGTAAAGTTAACAAAATGGATCAAATCCACTGCTAAATTTTATAAACCCTATATGCATAATACATATTGACCCAACTGTGAAAAACTCGGCACCTCGGTGGGGTTCGAACCCTCTATGGTCCCCTTTTAATACCGTAGAGAAATGTGTGGTTTTCCGTGCGCGGAAAATATGCGGGTTTTCGTTTTGAAATCCTGATTCCAAGTGTGACGGTAGAGCGGATTCAAAATTATTCGGGAATCGGAAAACGTTATTAAAACCAGATTATTTCCCTCCATCGAGTATAAAATTGGAAAAGACGTAATTTTTTACTAAATGAACGATAGAAGGGATACGTTTATGCATGTTTTCCATGCATGCTACGTAAGTAGTCATTTTTTACAGAGTATAGTTTTTGCATGCAGTCAGAACGATGTTCATTGGAAAGGCTGCGAATTGAGGTAACTGAAATATTATAGAATTGTTCTGTTGGCTGACTAGTTCTACAGTCCTACCTTATTGCTCTTTTCGGGACGAAATGCATTTCGGTACATGGGTATTAATCCTTTTAATTGTGGACAGGATATAAACGTGTCCTAGGGGGCTACGGTAATCAGACTCAATGTTTCTCCGCCGTCCGCAAGACGGAGTCAGCGTGTTGAAGACGGTGGAGTTGGGGTGGGAGGGGGAGGGAAGAAGAGGGGTTCCAGTTAGATCGTAGGCGCTATCTGTATGTGAAACACGCGAAGCGTGTGTGACTATTCTCAGTGCGTCGGGATGGCGTGCAATCACCACCAGGGTAGACGGACTGTTTGTGTCAACTTCTTCGGACAACAGAGCGCTGGGTTCGCTAATCGAATTGTCACTGCTTCTGCTCTGGCTAGCACCCGTTTGCACACGTCTTTAGAGTAGTGTGCCGGTGCCCGGTAGATAACTTTAAAGGCTTCTTTAGCGTCGGTTTGGCCGTTCGTATCGACTAGATGTGCGAGAATTGAACTTGAATTTGATCGATTTTTACCTCTACCTGGCCAGGCAGACATTTGTTCGCATACCGTCTTTTCCAGACGTCTCGTTGTATGGCCAACACGTACCACTCCTCTCGAACAGGTGAATTAATAAATACACACGGATGTGGCCTGTAACGGCAGTCGGTCTTTCCTTCCCAAATATCGAAAAGAGTACGCGCGGGTTTGCCGCGAGGAAGAAACTCATGAGAGCTGTCCTAAGACGTCTCACTAATTCGCTTGCTGCGTCTCCTAGAAAAATCGGTCTTAGAAATATATCTTTCTTCCCTGCAATTGCACGGTCAGGTTTTATGGCACGCTCTCTAAAATTCCGGAAGACTAATCTCTTTGGATAACCGTTTACTCGGAGAGTGTTTTGCAACTGCTGGAATTCTGCTTCAACAAACTCAGCAAGCGACTTAGTGAATCGACGTCTTAAGACAGCCCTCATGTAGTCCTGTCGGTTGTGATCGGTTAGATGATCTCCTACTGATTGCCATACTGGATTCCTCCCGTTGTGGTATTGGGATCAGCGTAGCATATCGCGTTTTGATCTTTCTTAACTTAATTCATGGACTTTACATAGGATTAAACGGTGCCGAGGCATGGTGCCCTAAATTAAAGCGGCGATCACCTTTGCTTTTTATTTTTCTATCCAATTACAGTATAATAAAATCAGAGTGGAAACCTTATTTGGACTAGACGGCAGTTGGTAGCCAGGCCCCGTATTACAGTTGGCTGGGGGGTTTGTTTACTGGGGCTATTTTGTGGGGCTCCATAATCGCATCTGACCCATTTGGCTTCCGTTTTACGTTTGAGGTTAGGATTAGGGTACAGGTTAATGGTTTCCGATTTTGGGGTTAGGGTTATGCCGTTAGGCTTGGGTTTTCGGGTTACGGTTGGGGTTTGAGTGTACGATTAGGTTTAGGTATTACGGTTAGGTTTTTCAGTTACGGCTATGTCTAAGGGCTACGGTTACGTTTACGATTTCGGTTAGGATTAGGGTTGCCGTTAGGGTTAGTGGTAAAAGTTAAGGTTGAGGTTAGGGTTAGGGTTAAGGTTAGGATTAGGTTTAGGGTCGCCGTCCGCTTCCCCATTCCTGGCTACCAACTGCCTACTAGCTCCTATTTGTAATGACTTTTGCGTAGGGCACTCCCAAACGTCAGACTGAAGTCGAGCATGGTTCAGTTTAAAAACTTAACAAAATATGTAATTTTCGATAGGCTGCAAAACTATGCCCAATTAATAGGCGTTCCGCTGGATTTTCTCTAGAAGTTGTCGATATGACCAAGCATTCGAGAATATGACCTGATATATGTTAAGCTCATATTCAGCATTCATGCGTCAATAGGCGTTTAATTTCAGAATACGTTACAGCTGACGTATTGTGTGTTTACCCTTTGTTAGCGGTCAGCAGCTTAGTACTAATGCTGCAGAGCATTGAAAAAATCGATATGAGTATCATCCAGTTTGAAAAAACAATCGGCAAGATGTGGCCATGTAGCCTTATCTGATGGACACAATACTATTGGGGTTGGGATTGAGGTTTAGCGTTAAGACTAGGGGTTAGAGTTAGGGCTGTGTCGTGGATTAGGGTTAGGGGTTAGGGCAACTATTTCTAAACCACTTAAAGTACAACCGTGCATTCCCAATAGATTTTCTTTTGCATACAACTACATGCCCTCGTCGCCTGTGCGTTCCCAAGCCCCACCTGTAAAAACCCCTAGTACCACCTGTCCCGCATTACAGATGGCTGGGTTTTGTTTACTTCAAGTGCGGCTACATAACCACATCTGACCAAAGAGTCCTCTTCGATGGTACGTTTTTTCACAAATTTTAAAATATGCGCTTATTCTTCGCGAATGGACTTCAGTAATTTTATCTCAGTAACAGTGCAGATGGAGACTGTCTGTCATATGAGGAACAGACCGGTTAGCAAAATCAGCCATGCATAATATTCAGTGGGCTGCCTGGGCTGTTGTTTTTTTCCTCGCAGGTATAAACAAGTCTGACACCAAATGCCATACAGGAGGAGGTGAAGGTTATTCAGGCAAAGTGCGCTGCTACTCGAGGCGAAGTTGCCAAAACTCCTACACAATCACATCAACGTCCGATGGTCCGAAGGGACAGTAAGCGGATCGCGATGGCCGACGAATCTCGCAAACATAACATGTACTCGCACATTGAAAATGTCGACGCAGAAAAACAGTCCAAGTTACGGATATGGTTAAACCATAATGTGACTACGGTTCGGCTCTGAAATCTAGTAAACAAGGGGAAAATTTGAACACGGC